CGTGTATCGTAATGGCCCCCGTGCGTTCGGTGCCACTTAGAAGTTCCAATATTCGAACCAGTTTTGTCCCCGGTGGGAAGAGCTCTCCTTTCCGCTGCAGTCGCATTGTTATGGAACGAGTTGAATGGCACACAGGCCATCGCGAGTGAATGAAACGGCCCGAAGGCAGGTTACTAGTCCCGACAATGTATGATGACTGACTTAACTGGATTGGATAGAGCGTCTGGGTCCACGGTATAAATAGACGCTACCACTTACCGTCAATTCAAAGGGAACAGAAGACCGCGCGCGCGCTTCTAGCCGCGCGGCCGGCGAACAACGCGCAGGAGCCTCGGGCGCGTCACGAAGCGGCACCGATAGCGAGCCGCCGCTCCGCGTCCAGTGGCGTAACCAGCCGCTCAAGGTCGACGGAACGGGAGAACCAGCGATTTGCCGATGCTAGTCAACCCGACAGATTGATAGGCCGATTCTACTGACAAGATAGCCACGGGTTCGTTTGATCCAGTCACTGAATTTCGCTGACTCAATCCGTTGCCGTTCGATTTAGGACACGGATTGCGAAAGGGACTCTCGTTCAATGCTCGCAGCTGCTGCCAGAAGTTTCCGCTTCTCGCTCGGTCGTGTTGGGAAACTTTGTTAATATACCGATTTTTACCGCGGAGCTCACTCGATCGGTTGATATATCGCCCGTTCGCGGATGGTTCTTTTACGATCGTAGGAGAGGTAACGTGTTCAACGGTCTAAAGAAGGCGATTTGATCGCGGACAAACTGATTTTCAAGTTGACCATTTGCAGTTGAATGTTTTGCAATAGATATATTCAACGTTTATCGGTAAGATATGAATATATGAATATTCTTTCGAAGTTGCTAATGAGAAGACGTACGTACATTAAGAAACAAAGCCGTTTTCTGTGAATATTTCACGTATCGATGCATTACGCGAAGCATAATATTCAGATAAGACTGAGAGTGGCTATTAGAGTGAAAACGATTAGTTGAAATTTCAATAAGTGCACTGTCAGAGTTCCTGCAGGGAAATCTACGAAGAATTCGAGTGCTCGACAGTTCTAGTGTGAAGCGTTGCTTATCACTCGATTATCGTTCCGTTTGCCAACACGGGAAACGCTGCGAGGAGCAGTTGTTCGAACGTGCTGGGAACTAGAGCGGTGTTTCGTTTGAAAAGCACACAGGTGAGTCATCGCGTAGAAACTCTGCGAGATCCACCTCGCGTCGAGCCATTGTTGTTTTCGCGGAGTCTACGCTTCGCGTTGATTAACGGCCCGTTACTAATAGACTTATCGGCGGATCTCGAAGTTTATGGAGCAAACTACGAATATGCGACACGTGCAATCACAACCAGCCGTGTCGATCGAGAGAATTCTCAAACGAAACGGAAAAGTGAAGTCACCGTTTCGTCGGCGAATGCAATCTTCCCCGCTCTCGAGTCTCTGTTCCGCCTCCGATCGCATTCGTTACATTCGCGGGACGAATTAATCGTCACTGTGAAACCGGCGCTGCATTCTGCATCGTGCCCAGGTGCAGCCAGCGAAGCCGATTCAGATCATTCCGAGAATCGAATTGAGTCATCAGATGGAGAGATACCGGACGAGACACCGCGATCGCGGGGGATATCGCGACGAAACTGAAATTCTAGTAATATCACGCTCCTCGAGACTATATGCAACTTCAACGTTATTCCGTGCAAGTGATTGAGTCACAGTGTTGCACACAACTGAGTCACTCAGACAATGCGATTGACTGCAGAAAAAATCGAGAAATTTAATGTTTTTCAAGGTATTCTTAGCTTCAATATTTTCAGAACCTACGAAAAGGACTTGCTAGCCTAGAAGAAACGAACAACCGAGTAAATCTTTGAATAACTGAAAAGATTACTTATTCGTGTTAAAATTCACAGAACTCGATTTAAACACATTAGCATCTGACCAATTAAATTATCGCAGATTAGATCGGCAAAAGCGAAGGCTTATAGAAACCCTTTCGAACCCTCGTTTCGCGGCCCAAGACAATTTTCCCTGCCGAAAATTTCTTTCTTTCCTCAAGCTAATCCAGCCGGACAAGTGAGAAGGCTGAACGTCCATGTCCTACGCCTATGGCTGCTGGTGCAGTGCCATGACCCACGATTACGAGGATCGCGGTTAATCATTCCTAATTTATGCCCAGTAAACCGCGCCGTTCCAGCGCTGTAAAACCGGGTGGGGGAAACATGGCGCGCGGCCCGCTGCCTAGAAACGCCATTAGACCGCCGTTTCCGGATGACAATGTTCCGTTGACTGGAAACGCGTGCCCCGCGGAACGGGTCTAACTGTACAAAGTGACGTTTCCAATGCGTCCGTCGACCGAACCGGCTGACTTCCCGGTGATTTATACGTCGTACGGGTTACGGTGATTCACGGATTAAAGCGGCCATTCGGAGGGCCGGGACGCGTCGCTGGCGAACGCTAATCCGGGGAAGGCGGAGTCGCCGTTCCAATTAAACTGCAGGTCGAAACGCGTTACTTGGCCCATAACTATCACTTTTATCGCTAGCCGAGCAATAAAAGTTTCTTTACGACGGCCGGGGTGATTCCCCGAGTCCCTCGGCGGGGCGAATAATTTCATTAGTCGGGCAAATAGACAATAATACGAGGAAGATGGATCCTCGGCCGAGGGAAAGGCGAACCGGCGCCGGCGAGCGCGAACAAGTTTCGAAACTTCGACCGATCTTATCAAAAATCCTTGCGAGTTACTGCCAGAGGCGCGCGAGCGGAGTCAACGCTAGCTTTATTCGACGCGTCACCGCGACTAACTGGCTAATTTCTACACAGCGAGAATTCTTTGAATCTCTGGAAACTCATTTCATTAAGAAGCCGAGGAAAAAGTCTTAAATACTATGGCAAAGTAAACTATACATCGAGCCCTCGTTATTCGAGTAACTGAATTATTCATTGTTCTCGAATTTAGCAAAGGGTTAAGCCTCTAATTTCCAAGACCCAGCTGAACATCAATTCGTCAAGGCACAATAGAATAAATGTGCATAAAGCTACGGTTGAACAGCCACCGCGAATGACTTCATTAACTCGAGTGGACGGTCACCAGCGAATTCTCAGTCGCACGAGCCGAACTTGTCAGAAATCCAAAGAATGTCGAGTTTCTAGAGTGCGTCGGAGGGGCGGGCGCCCGCTAAACCGGGGCGAGGTGGTCTCGCTAAACCGTGGAGCGGCGCGCGAGTCCGTAGGTGTAACGGGAAGATTTACGTGCCCCGTTCCCAAACAAATTACCCGGGATTCAAAACACCGACGGCGGAACGCTGCGCGCCAGAAGCATAAACGATTTTTCAGTGCAGTTTATCAAAGCACGCATCGGTGGATCGTCGACGGAACGATCGAGCGCCTCGGGGCCGGACACGCTCGATTTGCCGGGCCCGATGCCGGGAATGAAGCGGTAGCTCGCATGCACGACCGAGCTTTATAAACCGAAGACGTCGTCTCGACGGCTCGTTAGCGGGTGGAGTTATTAAGTGGCCGCTCGTTAACGACACTGGCCGGTCGTTAAGCTGTGGTAGGGAGGGAACGCACCGGAACGAGTGCGCGCGGCTACGTGACCACGGGGGTGAAGTTTCATTGGACGAAATAGGGAAACTGCTCGGGCAGCCCCATCCTCGTTCCAATTCTCGGATGTCTGTGTTATTTATTGTTTTCGGTGATCGGCTAGACCGAAGTGAATCGGATCATAGGGTGAAACGGATCGATATAAGAATCCAACGCGTGTTTATTACGTTGTAATATGCATTTCGATTTTCTTATTCCTCATTTCGGAAAGGAGAGTTTGAATATTCATGTTTGTTTCTTATTGTTAATGTTTAAACGTGTTTACTGCATCACTGTCAAAGAGAAGACGGTCCGATTCGTCTTGATCTACCTTGAATCTTGCAGAGATTCGCGAAGGAAATCATGAAGGGTGAATTCTCATTATTTTGGATTATGTCGCCCTTCGTGCAAAGACTCTATAAGCGTTTAGTTGCTTGTAACTATTAATCTCAGCACGACGTATCGGTAAGTTGTCCGTGAATAAGCAGAAATATTAATTGACATGTTGGAAAACAGGGGAGCAACGGGCGGGAACGATCGGTTCCCGATCGCGGTCCGCTTTACGAGGGAACGGAAAAATAAGCGGCGGAACCAGACCGGCCTGTTCGTTTATGGTAGCCGGCTTAGACAACAATTACGTAATTATACGATCCGGGGGCGAAATTGATCGGCGTTTAACCTTTGAAAGGCGAACGGCAAAGGAAAAACGCGATTAATGAAATGGTGGATCGTTCTGAAAAGTACCGAAGCCTTCTTGTGCCGCAATCGTAAAGTACCATACATCGATTGCTTAAAACAATAGAAAAAAAAGAACTATATACCGATCTCTCGCTATTCAAGTAATTAAATCATTCGTCCGAAAAGGGTTAAGCCATCGAAAATTCTTTGAAATATACAAAACCTTCAACAGACGAACTTAAATCATAAATCAATTGCTCAAAAAATAAAAAACAAGGAAACTATGTACCGATCTCTCGCTGTTCGAGTAATTAAATCATTCGTCCGCGACTCAGTGTTCGAAACACGAGCTTCTCACGAGCATTTCATCTCGCGGAAATGACATTCGTCCGCAAAGGGTTAATCCAACGGCGAACGACGCAAGGGTGGACACACGCGACCGAGTCCCGATTTCACACGGTCGCTAAAAATCCTTGAACTCGTTCGCGGGGCAAGAAGCGATGGCCAGAGCGCGGACGGGCTAGCCTCGGCTCGGCTCTCGCGGTGCTCGCGAGGTTCCAAGCCGAGTTGGTAATTGATCGGCGGGGAAAGCCTAACCGCGCCGCGGCATTACATAAAACCCGTTTAGGCGGGCATGAAGTCCTGGCTTATCCTCTCGGTCAATGGCATGCAGCGTTAACGCGACTACAAAGATGGCTATCTCTGTCGGCCGTGCGACTTCGCCTTTTCCTTACCTTGGCCGTTCGAGTGATTTTGCTGAGGCGACTGGGGCTGGCCCTGCGTCAATATAATTTGACTCTCGAGCTGCTGGAGCTCGGCCTGCAGCTCGTTCAGCTTGCTGTTCGCCTTTTTCACGATCGTCGCTACGTCGGACAGCGCTTTACGATCGGTCGCAACCTCCCTCAGCTTCTCGGCGCCGGCCTTTATTTTCAACTCCTGCAACAGAGTGAGCACACATTCACGTTCGGTTTTTCACGCCGGCAAATCGGTCTATCGCGCATTCTTTCCTGCCTCCTATCCTTGGACCTTCGTTTCGAGTAGCTTCCCTCGAACGCGAATCAACCGAGAACCAAGTAGTCTAACAGATCCGAACATTAACTCCGACTTGGAACATTAACCCTTTGCACTCGGGTCGCTCGGGCGATTGTTCGCAGAGGTATCACAGCACGGAACGCTATAACGTACAAACATAAGTACTCGAAACAAGTGAAATCCAACGTTCTCCAAACATATAACAAACCATCTTAAATTCGATTACATCTACAATAATCCTATCCTACCTACACAGCGTACAAACTGCCGAGTGCAAAGAGTTAACAGATCGATCGCCGCGAGAAATCTCGATTTCTCGGTTTCAGTTTCGTCGGAGGAATGTCCGATTCCGTAAGTATCCGGCGACCAACGCGCCGAAGTAGCTCACAGCTATTAAATCTCGATTCAGACACAATAAAGAGAGTTCGAGCCGCACGCGTCGCTCGGTTTCGAATAGGAAAAAAAAAAGATCGATTCGGGATCGTTTATTACGCGCGGTAATAGGAATAGAATCGCGCCAGCACCGAAAGCTGTGCGCTCGACGTGCGCAGCCAGCGTTGTAGAAGGTTACCTGTGGAACAGTTTCGTTACAATCCACCAAACACGCTTCATTGTTCATTGTTTCGTTAACGCACGCACTCGAGCGCCGGCAATAAAGGCGAGGGGCAAGGATTCGTTTTCGCCCAGTCATCGGGAACGAATGCGCCCGGAATCTCGCTTCACGGAATCCAGATGCGTGCGATTATTATTATCGACTTATCGGTGTCCATCGGGACCACACCTCTTTTTCCCTCCCCCGGTCCCTCTCCCCTCGCCGGCAAATGAGACGTAAAATTATAGCAACGTTCCGCGCGGCTTATCCCCTCGTTCTGTTACCCCCCATTAGATTCCCTATAACATTTCATCCGCTGGCTGGCACCTGACGGCCGCATCCGTGCCTTCTAATCACGGGCCGAGAGAGCCGCGAATAATATTTGCGAGCGGCGATCAATGAGACGATCGCGTTACTTCATCGTTGCGCGTCGCGGGCCGTGTTTCGACTTTTACCGTCTCAAATGTACAGGCTGATTCAGAACGAGCGCGCGACACGCGTGGCATTCCGTTGAGTCACGAGCGACTCTCGTGCGACATTTTTTAAACGATTCACTCTGCACCGCAGGATTTCCCGGTGGTATCGGTTTTCTGGTACGTACAGCCGATTAGAGTAATGCCAGATAAGAACGCGAATCACTGGGATAATTAGAATTAATTGGTACGTTGCGGGATGTTAAAATCGTTAACGGCCGAGCGTTAACCGTTTCGCTCCGTTTTACCTTTGCTGGACTCGGAAGGGGATCTTTCCAACCAGCGCACGCTGCTTTCGATGGAACTCGCGTCAGACGGTTCTCGAGGAAATATCTGACACGTATTCTTAGCGGCCGACGTCGAACCGGTGGAAACATCCCTTGAAGTTGAGGGTTGAAAGTATATTTTTCACGATATCTCTAAAACCAAGGGGCGCAGGGAAAGAATCGAAATTGTTCATTTTCAGGCGAACAGTTTAAAAGGGAAGTTTCTATTTTACACCCTCTAATTTCAGAGGTATAAAAATATACTTTCAACCCTCTACTTTGAGTGCTCTCAGCTGTTCAAGATGTTGGTCGATACGAGGAAATTCGTGTGAAATATTTCCTTGAGAACCATCTCACACGTAAGTTTCATCAGAATCGACGTGCGCTGGTTGGAAAGGTTTCCTTATTAGATACACACATGCTGCTCGTGCGTCGTTAACACTAGGTTTACCACGCGGGTCATCTTGACCCATTTCGTACTTCGCGAGGAAAATTGCAGAGTCCGTTTACATTCTTTTTCTACCACTTGCACCGACCATACATCTGATCCATATATCTCACAGTTCCTTTTCAAAGAAAGTGCGATTCTGTTCACGGTTCAAATCGACCGTTGCCTAAACCTAAGGGCAAACCTAATTAACCCTTTACACTCGAGAGGTGACCGAGTCGCTAGTTTCGACACAAGAAAATCCTAAACTTCTACATGTCAACTAACATTAAGCATTCTGCAACGCATCGATACGCGAGATATCGAAATAAAAAATAAATAATTAGCTCCACGGAGCGTTACCTATGTCGGATCGGAAAATATCGAGCGTCTCCAGTGAAAAACTTCCGAGTGCAAAGGGTTAAACGCGAGATCCGCGGTCGAGTCGTTCGTTAATTATCAAGCGTTAAGTCCTCGTCGTTCGCGGCGGGAGTCGTTTACGATTCGACCCGATACCCGCTTTACGGGGAACAATTAGCCAGCCGCGCGGCATAAAATTCGAGGATTACGGATAAACGCGTTGGTCACGCGTTCCTAGAATAGAGAACCGTTCGCCGAACGGTTCGAAAATCCCCGACCCTGTTTTTCAGGCTCGCGTACGACGATTCTCGCGGAGGAACGAGCGCGATTACCGGACGCGCGCGCGGCAAGGGTGTAATCACATTTTTGCTGTCGGCGGAACGAGACCGTACGGATACGCAGAGGTCGCGGCGCGACCGCGGAAAGGAAAGAGGCCGAGCCGAGAGGAAGAGGAAAGGGAGCGTGGAACTCGTTTGCCGCGGTATCTCGGACCACCCTCGAGTTTCCATCTACGCCGAACCCACGTGTCTCTCCACGTACCCAGAAATTACACGCTCCATTACTGCCCCGGCGTTCTTCCATATTTAATAACAAAGCGATCGCCACGATAAATACCCGCGCGGTAATTCGCCCGCCGATTTTCCAAGTATCAACGTCGCATTCCGTTTCCTAGCTACGCCCCCTTCGTCGATTGTGAACTCTGATCAGAAGTCTGGAATCGAATTCGAACGCTCGCAGATAACTATCTATGTAGAAGGTAGAACTGATCGATAGATCTCTCTGCGTCAGGAGGACACTTTAAATATGTGAAATATTCGAACTACTTCATGGTGCTTGTTAGAAATCTGTTTCTATCGTAGTTCCGTTTTCTATGTTCGGAGACATCTGTGTTTGGATAAAGGTGATATTGATCGATATGTCGAGTCTCATCAAATTTCATAAGTTAAGTCTACTTTCTAACTAGTCTCTAACTATAACACGCAATGGCATATATATTTAGTATTACAAGCAAAACGATATAATTTTATTCTAAAAGTCCGAAACCTCGATCGATCTCCCCAAGAATCAACTGATTAACAGAAAGAAAATTGCTTTCGCCACCGATTTCAGTGTGAGCGTCGACGCATGAGCTTCTCACGGTACAAGAACGACAGTCTCACGGATAATTCCTTCGTCTAACCACTTCCCAGCAATTCTACCAATAAACAAACACGATGGTCGGAGCACCCGCGGAGGTGAATCTTATCTCTCCAATCCCGCGCGAGGGATGATCGCGTTTCTCCCTCGGAAATGGCCATAAATCCCGTGCAGGATCCATTAGTCACGCGGATCGTGCCGCGGTTTTCAACGAGCTCGCATGGATCGACGGTGGTCTGACACATATCGGATCCCTCCGTCTCTCTCCGGCCGAGGGATCAGCGAAAAAGGAGTGGACGCGGAGGAAGCGAGGGGATGCTCCCCTCTCTCACCTGTTTCCCACCCCCGTTTCCAGCGGACTCGAATCGTGCGAGCCGCGCTACCGTGCAGAAGAAACACGACGAGGAGGAGGAGGAGGAGGAGGAGAAGGGGGAAAGGAGGGAGAAGAGGAAAGAAAAAACGGGAGCTTCGGGGAAGAGGTGTGCAGCCGAGAAGGATAAGCGAAACGTCGACATACCTTGCGTATTTCTCGGCGTATGTGCTCCCGCAGCTCGTCGAGACGAGCCGGCAAGGGCACCTGGTCACTGCCAGCCACTCCATACTTGCTCGACAGTTCGTAAAGAACCGGGTGCCTGATGTAATCGCCCTGAAACAGATCCCGAATTCGATTATTCGACGCTGTTCCGAAGATTCGAGTTGCATTACGCGAATTATTGGAATCCGAGAGCAATATCGCGCGTAGGTTGAACCCTTCATGGACGAACATTGTTTAACTGCCACGTAAACGCTCATCGAAACTCTCAGGTACTCGAAACAGTTTTCTTCGTTAACCAGAAACTGAGGATTCTGCTGAATTAGGTACCGAAGGCTTGTATCTGCTCGCAGCTTGGTATTCCAAATATGGAAGTTTGATCTCGGTGAAATGTCGACATTCGTCCGTGAAAGGTTAAGTGCTTAGGGGAGGTTTTTCCGGAAGGTTAGAGGGTCACGGGCGCTTGTGGACTAAACATTGAAATTCGACTATTCAAATGAGGAACAATGAATGTTACCAATGTGTCGCTAAGTAGTCTCTGGTATACAAGATGATTTTCATTTGATAAATAACAATTTGACGCGAATAAATTCAGTTTCTCTATTTATATAACGTCGGAATCGAGACGCAGAGTATCCATTGTCATTGGAAAAACGCGCGTTTGAAAGGCCATTCGATCGGCAAAGTTCGCAGGCTCCAAGATCGCGTTTTATTTTGAAACGTTCGCGGAACGCGATACGATTGGCCCCGTGTTATTATGTTCTTCCTGCGCGAAAAGACACGGTTCTCCTTCGAACGCCCCGCACTTCGACGATAAAAGTCCACCGATCGCGGAACACCGCGCTTCCAAGAGGCAGCGACTGTTTAACTGCTCAAGGAACACGGTCCCTCGCAGCTTAATGCCCGCATTAACCGAGGAAAATTAAAGGATTAAAGGATCGCGCGAGCAGTAAACTTTTAATTCATCCCACGCGCGTTTCCTTTTATTCCCGTCTCTATCCGCGAGCCACGAATAATCGATCCCCGCGAATTTGCGGGAAAAACGGCGAGCGGCGTGTTGGCGTGGTCGCGTCGCCGGAAATTGTCTGGCGCGTACTGCGGATGTACACACCGGCCGTTCACTCGTTCAGCCGTTCACAGTTATAAAACTGTAGTCGCGGAGAGAAAATATTGATCTTACAGCGTTCCCCGGGGATCGCCGGTTCGCACGCATTCTGATCGAGACTATTAATACCGCTAATCGATCGATATTTAAATCGTTTGGCTCCCGGTTCACCTTGACTGAAATATATGCCATCAATTAACGCTTCGGCTACCGGATGCCGGCTAATAGTTACATTAAAAGGCGGATTAATCGTTTTCCAAGAAAGCGACGCACTTAAATCCTTGGGGTTAGGCAGGTTAAACGCTTCCCCGCCGTTTCCTTAGCTTTTTACGCGTAGAGTAGATTTCAATCTACCTTGAAAAGTTGAAATTACCGATAGTCGAGCAGTTTAACGTTTTATTTCAAACTTTTCATCCAGTTCGCAACGCTATGAACTAACGATAAACGCGTGAATAAGTGGAAACAAACATTTATACGAGTCGAAACGTATTAGTAAGTTGTTGAGACGTGTGAATAAGGTTAGCGAATTGTGTGGTGCAGTGAATTATGCGTAGCTTGGCTTGTTTTCTTCTTTAAAATCGTCTGCCTCGAAGAGTGAGGAACTCGGTATCAACTGCTGTATTCGATAACCCTTCGACTATGTTCACTCACGTAGAAAATAAAAATTACCGAGCTCGATCGGAACGTTTCACTCGAAGGGATTAAACATTGTGATTCGGGCTGACTGATAAAGCGTTATCGGAGCGTTGATTGTGGATCAACGCGAGCAATCACCAGGAGAATTGGAATTCGAACAAAGAACTGTCCCGAGACTATTGGAAAAATGTTGGAAGAATTGCACGATGAAACACAGGATCAATCGACAGTTGAAAGTACTTCTATTTGCAATTAACACTAAAACCACCGGGCGGGTCAAATTGACCCACTTCAGAATGTTTACTTTACAAATATTTAAACGATGAAGGCGTTTTTGTACAAATATAGGATTAGGAGATCCTTCGAATCCCGCGAAACGTATTGTTCTAATTTTTATAAGAAATTGGACATAAGCCACTCTAATTACTCGGTAGTTTCAGCGTTAAAGCTCCCGAAAACACATTGAATAATACACGAGCGAGTTCGTTGTAATTGTTACACGTTGAGACGAGCAAAATGGCCCGCGCTTAACGCGCCGAGGCGCAATCCGATGGAAACGGTGGGAAAAAAAAGAGGTAACGTACCACGTACGGTGCGATCCAGGACAAAACTCGTTTCGGCTTGCTCGTGATAGCGAGCAGATTCCCACAACTTTTCGACTTCTTTCTCATCTGGTGCACAGAAATAAACGACATTGTTCAAATGCGCTACGCGCCGTTATAAATAACGCGCGCGGAATTCCACTTTTATTTATCGCCGGCTTTTTACGCCCGGAATCCTCGTTTCCAGCGCGGCGAGAACGCTGGACCAGCTTTCATCGGGCGTTCAAGTTACCAGCGATAACGAACGCGGGCAATTAGCGTCGCTCGCTAATCAGCCGTTCCATTAATTTAAGGACGATCGTCGAACGTTTCACGAGCGCTCGATCGGCCGTTCGGACTATCGGATCGTAAGGAACGGGCGCGATTAAATCCGGCCGATCTACGCTTCATCACTCGCGCGGCCGAGATTCGATTCATTCAGCTCTATCGACACCGACGGCGAGGAAAAAGAACGAGTGATTCATTCACCCGCGCGCCACGTATCGAACGATTTCACGCATCGCACGTTTCCGAGATTACCAGTGAATTTAAAGGGTACTCCGGCAATTACGCGTTCACCGTTCGTTTCTGCACTCGCGCTCTATCCTCCGATTATTTCTTAATAGCCAGTGAACCTACTGCTATTAAGGAAATATCATTCGGTTTCACTCGTTTCTCAACAGTTCACGATGAAAGTGCGAGCTTCCGTGAACACCTGCACTCTCTGCCCGCTCGCAGGTTTCGTTTCGAAAGACACGCGTAACTCGAGCCTCGTTCGCCAAACTGCCGGCACGAATGTGTCCCCTTTGAGTTCGGTTGTATCCCCGAGTGCTGCTGTTTCGATTTCTCGCGACGCTCGCGACGGCTCTAGCGGTGCGCCGGGTCCGGCCTCGGCGAAGCGCGCGCTGCTCGACCACCTGTTGCAGCAAAAGTGCGGTGTGTCGCGACCACTTTTATCTCGCCGGCGAATTCCCTTTTTACTTTTCACCGCCGCTCCTTTATCGCCGCACTCGTCGAGTTTCCGCGGAACCGCTGGATTTCCGTTCGTCGCGCGACGCGGCACGCGGATCCGAGCATTCGCGCGAGACTGAGGGACCGTCTTCTTCGCTGCTCGCCTATCTCTTATCGCTGGCGACGATAACAGCGACTCTCAACGTGCCCGTGCAGGTGTGAACGTCGCCGCTCTCGCGTTATCTCCACGGTTATTCCCGCGACGATCGAGACCGGCGAAAGTCGCCTCGATTTTTCGAGAACGAAGGGAGACCGCCGTATAAACAACGTGATTCCGCAAATATTTTGGTGCTCGGAAATTGGCTCGTTGATCCGGACCTCACTCTCGATCAAAGAGCGCGCTGCGCTGATAATCCTTATCTCGGAATGTGAAATGCGCTTACATAAGTGGCACAGATTGGTTGATCGTTGATACAACCTGCGATCGGTCGCGTTCTGGGTCAACTTCCAACGAGCTTTTCGGAGTGTGCTCGGGCCAACGGGTCTAGCGAGATTGACGGAGCTAAGATACTCCTGAAAACTGACTCGGACTCTGTCTGATCTTACAAGGGAGGACGCTCACGCGTTGACGCCGTTTTAATGAGTTTCTGCAAGTTGATAGTACGTTCGTCTATAATGATGTGTTCAATATCAGGCGTAGTTATATATAGTTGCTCGTGTCCCCTCGTTAGGGGATGGTTTTAAATACATAGTCCCAACTCGTCGAGAAAAGACTTATCCGTTGTACACATTTCCTCAGGAAGATAGTACCCATCTGCAGCGTCCCAAGTGCACCCGGAAAATTCCCTGTGCTCGGTATAATTACCACTATTGTCTTTGGCAGAGACCGAGCGAGACGGGATCAGCCATCAGGCGTATCTTTCGATCAACGTCGTCCAAGATTTTGCATCCGCGAGTCGTCGATCAGCGTCGGCGATACGCCGCAGTTTTCACAACCAGCGAAACAGCTCGAGTAGCGGGTGGAGCGATTTAAAGAAGCAACGAACCCCGAGGGAACACGCACACGGCCGGGTATCCTTGTCTGCGCCTGACACGCTGATGCCACGAGCTATTTTCATGCATTCCGTAATATGTGTGCCATGCATAATAATCCGGAGAGGTCAACACTCGTCGCATTACCGCAGCAGAGTCATCGAAAACCCCATCGCCGGAAATGTTTGCGGACCGATCGGTAATCGTGTCTCATCCCCTAGTTTGCTCGGCAGCTTTTGTTTCTGATAAGAAGCTCGTCGCTTCGGTGCTTTCATGTTACCAAGTTTCCTTTCTTCCATTGTTTAAGCACTCGATGTATAACTTAGCTTCATACGTCGCAAGCTTTCTGTTCTTCAAAGAGTCTTCATCCCCAAAGGATTAACCCTTTGCGCTTGAGTTCTTCGCTAGAAATGTTCAACGGTTTCCCGAAAGTTTTTTATTCCAATATTTCGCATATGCATTATGCAAAATTTCACTTGAAATATTAAACTTTATCATTTCGCTGTACCAATACAGTGACTAAGCAGCAAATAGTTCCATGAAATGAAGCTTCGTTGGGATTTCCATTCCACCGCTGCACAGGAAACGCTGTAAATGCACTGGATCCACAGCTTAACACGTTCGATGAATGAACTTCATTGATTTTCTTAATAAAATATTAAGTTATATTCAAGTTTCTGGTAACTTTCGTATACTTTGATACTGTTCCTTTCTGTTCTTGCTTTGTAACGCATATCATCCGTGATCGTGTGTCCCTTAAGAATATTTTCTTACAGAAATTCACGTGTACCATACGTGGTACACGTAAAACGTGTTAACGAGCGTATCGACAATTTCAATTGAACGCGAGGAGCGTTTCGTCAATGGAAAATTTACGTCGGTCGACAGCTCTAATGATAGCCGTCTGTGCCGTTATGATTAATCGCGGCAAGAAAATAGAACGCGAGTCGCCTCGGCGACGTGTACCATTTTATTTTTGGGTTACGCACAGCGCGGAGCATCCGTTAGGCGAATTGCGAAAGTCGCGTGGATCCGCGCGACGACGTTAGGGACAATCGCCGCGCAGGGTGGCGGATCATGGCTGCTGCGTCTCACGGGATCCTCGTCAGCGCAGACCAGAAAGAGCTTAACGTGTGCTCCGTCGTGTGACGTTTCGACGTGTCAAAAATTATTGAAAACCTGGCTTATGCCCAGAGAAACTAGTCATCTCGGGCCCACCGGTTGCGAAACGGTCAAAATATCTTCTTCCTACCGTTTAGGACATTCAGAAAATATCACCAGTGTCGCCCCGGCGTCTTTAACACTAGAATACCAACTGATTTTTCCAAATTTCTTTGGAAAACTTATAACCGTGTATTTATTAACATTTCAATCGGCTTATATTTCAGTGTATTACTAAATCAGATTTTTAAACGATTTCTCAGAGAAGCATATGTTACCTTTTCAGTAATTGTAAAAGGAATTAGGAATAAATCATTCTGAGCCATCTGGTAGTTCTAGTGTTAAGGCGGATACTCTAATATAGTCTTCAGTTTATCCGAGATATCTTTTATCTGAAAAAATAATCGTGTTGAATGTCACGCTCGTTTTTAACGATGCATATTGTTCGATTTGAATGAAATTTCTTTGAAAAATCAGCAAATATTTGATTGGTACAATGAAGTAAGACAAACCGGAAACAGCGGTCCTTGAATTGTATGTATCTCAAGTGGTTGAACGGGGTCTTTAATCAGCGATCAGAATATTCCTTTGACTCTGCTATAAATAGAATAGTTTATTCTATAAATATAACTATGAAATGGGGATTTGTATAAATATCCGTCGACTAACGAGCGATAAGTTTGAAACGAGTCGATAATCGTCGATGACGGAGACTTCATCGCGACGATGCGTCAAGCCCTTAACAGAACTATCAAGCAGTCAAGTTGACTGTTCAACATTTTTCTATAGAAACCTCGAAACTTTGAGTATTATTAAAACAATTTCTTTAGAAATTTCTTAGAGAAGAATCTATTGCTTCTTCAATAATTGTAAAAGAATTTAGGAATGGGTCAGTCCGACCCATCGGGTAGCTCTAGTGTTAAGGACCAACCACAAGTATCAGCTATTGTTAATTTTCATGTTTGAATATTGTATAATAAAAGATGACGAAAATTTTGATAGTAATTGAGTTATAGTCCGATTGCATCCAATCGAATTTCACTACTATAGGTTAATTAACCAGCAGCAATATACATGTTCTTTAAAGTGAATACCTTGTTTGACATTGGAGAACTTTCGTTTAATTAATTAGTGGAAATGTATGTTTCCGACTTTGAAAATTCTGATAGGAATTCGGTTGTAGTTGGATCGTATTCGCAGCAGTTCCGGCGATTTCAAGTTCAAACGTAAACCTCGGTTTAAGGGGTTAAGTCAGCGCCATGTAATGGAGCTGCCGTGTATGATCGGCCGCCTCCTGTCAGAACGATATCCTCGGCCGTTGCTCGGCTACGGTTCTGGCAAACGCAGTCCGCAAGACTATTCCCGTAACCTCGGGAAATACCACTTGCCGACAGAAACAGGTGCTACTGCTCTGTTTGGAAAGTTCTCGGGAGCACTTTGGACGAATCGAGAGAGATATCAGGTGCACGGTACCCGTCACGCCTCGCTTAACCTGTAACCGGGTGATTTTTCGACCGCGAGCACACGTATCGGAACAATTCCGAAGCCATCGGGATCGTTTCGAACGATTCATCCCGTAACACGGGTGAATTCGATCCGCTTTGAGTTCCAATGAAAATAATTATAGAACCGCCAGAGGAATTTTCTCTAGCGAATAAATAGGTATCGAACAACGAGAGAAACAGGGACTGAAATAGCTCGTTTTCTACCGGTATCGAGAGTCGATAGCAACGATCTCGAGGGAGATCCACCGATCGAGAAACACCTTCCTCGAGATCAAGGAGAGGACAAGTGGGAGAGAGCGTCGCTAAGAACGAGAGGCCGAAAGGAATAGAGAGGAAACCGTGCTGGGACCGATCCAATTAAGTCCGGCAAGGATTTTTTATTATGGCGGCTGGAGAATGACCGGTCGGGTGGCGGAGAACGCGCGCACCAGTTCGTAAAGAGAGCGTGGATGGACCTGCGACTCACCTGATAATAGCTTGACTCCGCCATCTTGGACACTATAATCCACTCACTCACTCACTGCTTTCTATCCGTCCTTTGTGCACGGGACGACCATGTCCATTGTGTGTTTACACGCGTTAAGTACGCTGCTACACCGACCGTTCAGCTGCGACTGTCCTCATCTCAGTAATCGCAGAGCTGGTTTACTTCCGTCCCCGGGACGTCTGCGAGAGAAGCTATCGGTCCGAGATGCGACACGGGTGTTACTACCGCGGAGGAGTGATGAATGAAAGACGCGCGGCTCGCGAACCAAACACACCAAACAGAAGCGCGTTCCACCGCACCAGACTGAAGACTGACGGCCGTGTGCCGGGCCAATCGTCGCCTAATGGCGCGCGCACTCTGCCTCTCCGCACCGTTCCTGCTAAAGGTGAGTCCTCGACGACACTTTTACCGACATGCGAACGAATCGGCCGCCGCTTATTGGCCCGTTCCGGTGCAGCTGTGAAACCAGCCAACTCGCACCTCGCGAAAATACCAAATGCAGTCGAGTGAAAGGTGACTTAACCATGGAATAATCAACGTGTAGAATAGAAGATGCATACCTGCGCATGTCCTCTGCGCATGGCGGGCGTTGCAGGCGAGATTACGGATTCGAATGCACGAATCGAACAGTCCGGCGTAGAGTGATCGAGCCGACACGCATCCCTTTGCGCATATCGGTAGGTGGGAACTAAGAATTCAAAATGGCGTCGAGCGAAACTTCTATATTTATCATTATTCTGTGGTTTAACCTGGACGACGATGAGGTCCCCGTTGAGTCCTTGCGAAATCGTCGAAGGCTGCGGAAGACTGGACTTACAAATTTATTAAAAATTATTTTACAATTATTTATTTACAGTTTCATGGGAGTTCAATTATTCGGCGATCAGAGTTCTTAAAAGGTCGTCCGGGGTCCTTGTGAAGAGACCATTTGGATTTTGATAGAGGTTTTTGGAATCGTGACAGGCTTCGTAGAGTTGTTTGTAGATGGCGCCGATTACCTCGAAGGATCGTTTTTGTGTTATTAAACGGTGATTGTTACTTTGGAGTAAACTTATTTGAGGAAGTAACAATACATCTGGCATCACTAGGAAAGCTTCCAGTTTATTCTATAAAGTATTGAAAAATGATGGGTGCGGTTACTAATGTTTACTATTTGACATCAGAAAGATAGGTACTTACCGTAAACTCTTTTACACTCAAAGGATCCATTCCAGGAATAGAAGATAATGGGCCTTGCTCGTGCCCTTGTAATATGGTATAGATTGAACCGAGATTTAAATGTGCTACTAAAGAACTAGCCTGCTCTGATGTAAGAGTATCAATTTGTGCATCAGATTGAGCCTGAAATGTACAATTTCAATACATGTATACAATATTAGCATAGAAATAAGACAATTACCTGTAATCTTTCTAGTCTCTGATCCATGTATTCATACAATGCTAAAGTAGATTGTATTTGATGCATACAATTCAGAAGATATACAGCCATGTCTACCGTAGGTAATCTTGATGCAGTCTCATTCACTTCTTGCAGAAGTGGATCAATAATACATGATACTATCTGTAAACAACTAACTGCATAATTTGACCACATATAAACATCATTAGACAGAACAGTATTAAGAGTGATACACACCTGTAACATGTCTTTTTCTCTATCTGCCGCGATGCTAGCCACAGACAAAATTTCATTGAGAAGTGTTAATAATCGTGAAACGGACGGCGCTGGAATTAGATCAGTTCCTGGAGGTTCTGCACGTTCGCCAAGCGCAATTCGTGTCTCCTTTTGTAGTCTACTAAGGAAACTTTTCTCGCTAAGTACTAATAAATCCGATAACGTTGAATCTAAAGAACTCTCCGACAGAACTTGTTGAATTATATCCCGATAAAACCTTAGAAGGGTTGTTACTGAATATAACACCGTGGCTGGTGCATCCATGGAGACAACATGTTCTATTCTCGATTTTAAAGGATGACAAAGTCCGTCCGTGATATTACTCAAAGATTGTTTAATTTGATCAGATACATCTGAAATAATCATTTCATAAGAGAAATTCTGACAAAACAAGATAGTTAATTATCTTTTTGTTACCAGTTTTATCACAGCCCTTCATGAGAGTTAGAATATTTTCCCTTTCAACAGGAATAGCCTGATGCAACCAAGCGAGCATGTCACCAATATATCTTTTAGGGTCATTTGCATGCATTTCGATAGGATTGGGTGTTCCACCGTATCCTTCACCCAATGTCAATGCATCTATGAAAGACCCCACTAATGCAGTTCTTCTAGCTGCACAATATTCGTCTAGAATATATCTATAAGTGCAAGTATAAAATGATTCATCAATGTAAATGCATGAAATGGACAAAAATGTGAGAACATACTTAAATAAAACTGGTCTGTCTTGCAATTTATTCATTGCCTTAATTAGAAGCGGTGCTAAACGTTCATTTTCAATGTTTTTACATTGATTCTGTGTCCACCTGTATAGCCTCTCAAGAGCTGCCTCTTGTAGCAGTGTCATTCTTTGCATAATATCTAAACCCAATGTTTGATATCCTGACTGCATTAATATTCTACAATTGCTATGGATCTCCTATAATTTCAATAATTTGTTAACAATTCCAACACCTTTTATGGATACATTTTGCTTATTTTAATTAATGTACCTGGACACGGTTAACTACAGAAAAAAATTCCTCTGATATAGGTGAATCTCTGTTGGATCCATGCAAAGCAGCTAATTCTGACTGAGTTAGTTGAAAGTTTTTAATAAATGCGGTTGCAACTTCATGTTGCATAGACAATGTTTGACTGAAAACATCAATATAATGTTACATAGTGCTCCTCATTAATGCTCATTTCGTTCATAAATTGAACCTACCTTTTGTTTTGAAGTTTTGTCGTTTGATCAATGAGTTGCGATGTTTGGGTTTTAGTACTTTGTAAACGGTTTGTCATACACTGAACAGCAGTATTCATGGCTAAAACGTCTTGGTATATATCGTCCAAAGAAGATTTTACTTCCCTAAAAGCGGACAGGAATTCTTCATTTATAGCCAAGCTTCGTCTTTCGATTTTACTTCTTAAATTTCGACGAGCGTTCAATGTATTCTCCGTAAAAAATGTGGACAATTCTTTTAAAGCTTCAAGTGTATCCTAAAAGAAATGATCACATTGAACGATAACATTGAATAAACATAAATCACATAAATACCTTGTCATGTTCAACTCTTGATTCGAGTAATTTATTCACTCTTCGAACCAAGGCGGTGTTAGTATTTTTTTCGCTCATTTTAAGTACACGACTGTTACTGTCAAATTCATTCAAAAATACCCCTAACCTATTTACTCACGAGCTGTCACGTAGCATACATTGACATAAAAAGAAAATCTATAGTTGTCCACTCTACGTTGCAACTGCCGAACTTACGAGGTGAATTGAGAGTTATCCTTTACGATTAAAACTAATTTGAAAATAAGACAAACTACTATTAAATATTTTCCTAATACTATTAAAATGCTTACTAAATTTCTCTACATTAATATTAATATACATACATACACTGCAATTAATATTTAGTTACATATATTTACATAATGCGACGACATAATATTCCATTGTACCTCGTTTATGTCTGCATCATTGTTCATGGTCTAACACTGTCTTACCGATCAAGAAATTTAAACTTTAGTATCTTCACTATCCCTTGCATTATCGGTAACATTGAGCGCGACACAAAAATGGTACAGGGGTCTTAAGACCCCTGAAGCTCTAGACAAAAACTCCCATAACATGCAACGCCTGTAAGTACCCATCTTAAATCTAGGACATATCCACCTCGCAATTGGGACATTTATGGTAGATGGCGCCACGAAATGTTTCTCAAAAACACTCGCTAAAACGTAATTTATTTAAAATGTACATCGGTGTGTTCGATTAACTGTCCGCGCATCCACGATGACAGACACGACACAGCATCGAACAATACAATAACTAGTAGCTAACTTAATATCGATTCGCATTCCTTACATTGAGATACTTTCGAATCACTTGGTTGAAACTATGGTCCCACCATAAACTCGGAATGGGGTCTAACAGCCTCGGTCAAGAGAGGAGACGAAAACGTTCGTCCGTCGTATACGATGTCTATGTACAAAAATATTTACAATATATAACATAGTCGTCCGTTGATTACGTTAACAAGACGCAACGTGTTAATAATAATAAAAATTCGACTGAGACGCGGGACAATGGAATCCAAACGACGCGTCTGAGATCCTGTCCGCCGCGTGTTCTCACGATACTTCACGATTATTCGAATAAATTAACCGTTGATATCATATCCCTACGGTTATCGCTGGCGACGCGGACGCTGGCGTGCAATTTCACCGCGACGAAAGGCCAAGAGACAGATCGTGTCCTCGAGCTCGCGCAGCCACCGCTTCCGGTCCGCCTCAATGAGCATTAGTTGATCATTTTCAACGAGCAAATTGCCAGTTGACTGTCCGGTGCTTTCCCGAAGGGCTTCGTGCCGTCTGGCGCGTCGTATTTGTTCACTTGATACGTTAGCATCGTCTCGTAGCCGAACACGTCGATTCCAAGTTGCTGTGACACACGAGAAAATACAATATTAATCATGATCGTCTCGCAAACGAATCGTTCTCTTCGAAAGGGAATCTCGATTTCTCAGTTTATACTCGTTTGTCCTCTGCCCGCGAGATTGCTCGTCCAGGACAAGGTTTTTTGTAATTGAATTTAAGGCTGCAAGTAATTCCCTAAACAACTCGAACAACTTCCCCGTGGTGGGAATTTCAAAGTGGATCTCGAAGTTAGATTACTCCCCGAACGACCCGCGACATTTCGCTTAAGAAACTCGCGTTATCCGGGGCTGATTGGAAGGCTCGAAAGTATCCAGCATAACACTAACGATAAACGAACCGGTTATAGTTGTCTATGCCGCGTCCGGGGAACTGGTCGAGTGGAACTACCGATGCTTTCTTTGTAACAAGTTCGTACAATGTTTCTCTGATTGCTGTTGCCGAGTTTGTTTTCCTACGCTTTAACCTTTAGAGCATCGCTCATGCTTTTCTTCTTGTTTTTAGAACATTGAGTTTAGTAGATTTTTCACTTACGATTTAACATGTTGACTACTATATGTTATGTACTAATATTGTTAATTAAAGTTCATTAGAGTGATACATCGAGAGAACTAAATCACAGCAGAATTTGTAAAATATAAGATTGAAAAACATTGATGACTATGGAAAACCTCAGCTTTTCATTCTCCGTTTCATAGAATATCTTCGATTTCGTTGGAATTTAGCACGTATTAGTTCAGTATTCAAGATGTTAATATATCTGGCAATGTTAATAATGATCACCTGTGTCAAAGGACTAGTATTCGTCGTGAACACCCCAGCGTATTCTTTCCTCTTCGCCAGCTGCAAGCAATATTCCTCCATGTCCTTCATCACGATCACATTCTCCGCCGGGTTCAGATCGCTGCTGGTAGTCATCATAAAATTATGGATTATCTGACCCTTCCCCTTCGGTAGTTTCTGTTCCCGTATCGGTGCCTCCAAATACTCGAGGAAGTCGAAGATTATCGTTAGCTTCGAGTCGAGTATCACTTCCGGCTCATCCCAAAGATCGAAGTTCAAGCACACGCCGATCGTTCTCCCGTCGACGGACGACTTCACCACGAAACTGAGATTCTTCTCGACCAGAGGCTCCCAGAGGATCTCCATTAATATGCGATAGTCGTTTCTCGATATGCTCGGGATCAGCCATTGCTCCAGGTCCGCCTTGCTGTAGAAGCTTTCCGTGATAATCCTTGAGAAAAGCAAACATTACCTTTCCCACCTTGCACCTGAGACCAACAATTCTGCACACGTTCTCAAACATTCCTCGCTTTCACTCTCTCAAAGGAACTTTGAAATTCCCATCTCTACAATCTCCAATCACTTAGTAAGTAATCATAGTAGCTAAGGATTCAGAAAGTTAATACAACCATCGTTATTCGTAATCAGATAAGAATAGAATAACAAACGTTAACACAATCTTCTTTATCCACCATCTCAACCAGGATCGAGGATCGAAATTCAACGTGTTACCCATGTAAATCAACGATCACACCACCAGCTATCGGTCTAACCAATTCCAAAGTTTGATTTCAATTTACATGAAAATTCTACGTACTCTATCGCATCCTCTTTATGCGAATCGTCCAACAGTTCGTAGTAGTTTTCCGGCTGGTTCGTGTTCTTCTCTATCGGCTCGTCGTCCGTGCTGCTCCTCATCCGGTCGAGCACCTCCTCGAGGCTGTTCGCCGTGATGAATTCCGTAATCCCGATCTCGTAACCTTGATCCTTCAGCTTCGTCACCGTGTAGATCGAGTTCAAGGAGTTGCCGCCTAGCTCGTAGAAATTTGCATCGAGCGTCACGTTCGCGCGCCCGCCGCGGCCTATCACCGACGCCACCGTGGGGAACAGGACCTTGGCTTTCGCCAGGTCCTTCTCAGCCACGCCGGTGTAGTCGCAGTTCAGGTACTCGTCGGTTTCTGCGGGTAACGGGCGGATATATAACCTTTAGCGTGATCGTTATCGCGATCAGCGACACGATCGTTATCTATTCAAATGCAACTCGATACGAGCGTAAGCGTCATAAACATCCAGCTGTTATAGGTTAATTTGTCAGCGGTATACATGTTCTTTAGGGTGAATATCTCGTTTGATATTGGGGAACTTTAATTAATTAACGGACTCGAGGAATCTACGTTGTTCACTTTGAATTAGCTCGATCTTCGAATTAATTTGAATTTTAACTTTCTTCTCTTGTGGAATACTAATTCTTTTAATAATATCTACTTGCCACTATAGAGGTTCGACGCTTCGTATTGCTTCAGCAACGTCTGCCGATCGGTTTTCCCATTTGTCAGCAATGGTATGTTGTCCACTATAAAGATTTGTGGTAACATGTACACCGGCAGTGTACCTTGCAGGAAAGTTTCAACATTTTCAGCGCTGGTGGAGGATCCGCTTACAATGGTAATGAACGCGATCAGCGTCTGAAACATCGATGCACAAGTCGATTTTCTAATTGAACGGAGCTTCGATTAACGTGTGCTTGGAATTTATAGTTACAACTCCGAGTATAAATTTACCTGAGACAATTCCCCAGGTTTGTAACAAAGAACGACCACGTTGTCGACTCCGGGCACTCTGCAGACCGCTTTTTCCACTTCCGTGAGGTCTACCCGGTGTCCTCGGACCTTTATCTGCGAGTCCACGCGTCCTTCGTACATGACAACACCTTTTGATATCCTGGCGTAGTCGCCAGTACGATAAATCCTCGAATATTCTATTTAAACGAGAAAATTGCGGAATGTTCATTATTAAAATTCTTATCGTCTACCGAGAAGAAACCATTTCTAACCAAATTCAATATTTCAACAATTTTTCTTCTCCTATTCGAAACTTTCTCCAGCTTCATTTATTTCATTCTCTTTTCGAAGCTTTTCCTAGCTCAATTTTCTAAACTCTTCTTCAAAAACAATTCATATCAACGAGAGACGCACGAGGACAAGGCGAAATGTAAATTTTCCATGTAAGTTGTGACATACAGCAATTGACTTATACAACGGCTCGACCTTAAGAGGTCTCCCACTAACATGTTAGACGCCACGCGTACCATTTGCAAAGCACCTCTTTGACAGGAGCTTCTTGGTTTTCTTTTCTCTTTACTTTCTACACGAAAGGGTTGACGCTATTATTCCGAATGTTTATAGAATAACAGATCGATACCTGGATCGATGGCATGAGGATTCTCCAGGAATTTACGGGAGTCGTTGTCTCGGAGATATCCAGCAGCTAGGTTTCTCCCAGCCACTATTAGCTCGCCGACTTCACCTTGCGGCACCAGCCGCATTTCCTTATTCACGATGTAGACGGCACAGTTGTCTAACGGTTTCCCTGTGATCGAATGCAGTCAACTTTACACCGTGTAACACCGCGACGCGCCATTCTCGGTGCCATATTTATTATCATTCCGACAAACATTATATACTCGAGTACATTACACGATGCAGCAGCCAAAATGCGAGCACTTTTCTTTCATCTTTCTTTTCGATCTCGAATACAACATTAGGCTACATAAATATCGATAGTCTAGAGTTCATTCGAAAGAAGACGATGAACTCGAATTCTGCAGTGTTTCCGAGGAACTTAGCATTAACACTTTAATTAACGTAGATCGTTTGAATCGATATGAATGGGTGGTCACCTATAGGAATTTTCTCGGCTGACTGAAGCTGGTTGCGACTGTCCATAAGATGATAAGTGACGTCGCCCATGATTTCCGTGCTGCCGTAGAAGTTCGCCAGGATCTTGTCGCCGTCGCCGAACGTGGCGAAGAATTGGTCAGCCAGCGTGACCGGCAACGTTTCGCCGGAGCAGACCCACAGCTTCAGCGATCGTAACACGTTCTCCTTTTCCTGAAACACGCGTCCGATGCCGGATTCTATTAGATCTTTACTAATCCACCGTTTAAATCAGATAAACGGCGTTTAAGCAATCAGCACGCACGCGAAAAATGCTAATTCGACACGTGATTGAAATCTAGAGAGACGTGTTACATGATTTACCTGACGAATATTATGTCGTAAATCAGTCAGAATATTAGTATGAAATCGCGTAGCGTGAATTGTTTTGTATAAATATACAACGGAACAAGACATTATCGGTACAATGTCGAACTAGAGCTACCACTCAAAATGACTGGTTTCGATTTGTTTGTGGAAGACTGTGGAAGACATGTGTCATCGATTCCTTCTCTTCACTGGTAGCCCGTCAAATGAGCTTCGAGCGTTTCGTAAATGCAAAGAAAATTAACTGAGAATTTATGAGAAAGTTGAAGGTCATCCCAAGGACAACATCAATAATCAACGAAAGTGAACGGAATATTTACCCGCAGGCTGAAGTACATGAGCATCGAGTGCAACAAGGAGGGCACCAGCACCAGTCGTTGTATCTGAAAAATAGAGAGATCTACGTACACGTCTAAATTAAATTTGCATAGAATAGACGAGTTCATCTATTTATAAGTGAAATATAGGAAACGTATAAAATTCGATTCGTCGAATATATTAAATATAAAATTCATCTGTAACGAATTATGAGTGAAACATATGAAACGAATGAAGTTCGATTCGTTGAGTGTACAAAAATTCGATTATCCTTTCCAGAAGGTTCGAACTTTCCGCGTTGTTCAGCGTTCGGCGTCTAACCTGATGCTTGTCCAGCACTCGCACGAATCTCTCCGGGTCTTTGGTGACATGCTTCGGAACAACGACAAGCGTGCGACCCTGTAGAAGCGGCCCCCAGACCTCGGACACGCTGTCGACGAACGTCAGAGACGTCTTGAACACGCATCGTTTCTCGTCGGGCGCGTACGGCAGCTCCCGCCATTGCCACCGTAGCCGATTTAACACGGTCGCGTGTGGCAGCAGCACTCCTGCCAATAAGAAAAATGATTGAAGTATCACCGACGATCAATCAATCAATCAGTCCTCTAGAACTCAAGGCTGCTTCGAGCCGGCCAGCCTATCCGTGTTCACGTGTTCACGGGTATCTTGCACTCCGCTAATGACCACTAACGAGCAATCCGTCATATTCCCTTTTCAACATATTAAGAAAATTAAGTTTCACTTAAGAAGGATTACTAACGAGTAAGGGTAATTGGAACGTTGAATTCACGATAAACAGAGCTCAAAAGAAACGAAGGACGTCGCTTGCTTCATTTTCTGCTTGCTAAGGTCTGTCGGGAAGGAACGTTTCCTATGTCGATAGCTCGTCGTCGTTTGATGACAGTAACGACGATAATATGAACGAATTGGTAATATAAAATAAGATATTTATTAGCGGAAACCTCGTGAGCATTATTCTACTAATCTTTTGTATAATAGAACATTTATTGTTGAATATTATAGAAGAAACTTCGCTAGTAAATATGTTAGTAATATTCTACTAAGCTTTTGTACAATGAAATATTTATGACCCAACAATATATCAGAAACAGGCACCAATAAATGTCTCACGAGTATCACTCTACTGACCTTTATGGAATATTTATTGTGGGATACTATAGAAGAAACTTCGCTAGTAAATATGTCAGTAATATTCTACCAGGCTTTTGTACGAGGAAATATTTATTATCGAATAATGTATCAGAAACTGACAGCATGAAATTTCTCACGAGTATCATTCTACTAACCTTTTGTGGGATATTTATTGTTGGATACTATAGAAGAAACTTCGCTAGTTAATATGTTAGTAATATTCTACCAAGCTTTTGTGGAATATTTATTGTTGGATACTATAGAAGAAACGTCGCTAGTAAATATGTTAGTAATATTCTACCAAGCTTTTGTACAAGGAAATATTTATTATCGAATAATGTATCAGAAACAGACGGCACGAAATGTCTCGCGAGTACAATTCTACCAACCTTTCGGTACACCGGTGCTGCCGGAAGTGTAAAGAACGATCGCGAGCTGCTCCGGGCTCTCCCGTTGCTCCAGCTCGTCCTTCTCCTCCGCGGCAGCTCTTTGAGCCAGTTCCTCGTAGGTCATCGTCATCGTTCCGTCGTAGATAGACCGGTCAGCTGGAAAATTCAAATTTAAATGGAATGCTGACGACAGAATCGCCTCGCGTTCGCTTCCTGGCGCGCTGATTCACGGGCCGGTCCGATTAAAGCACGTTGAATTTTGATGTGTTCCTCGTCCCGTGAAAAAAACTGGCTCTGTATCGTCAATTAGAGCAATAAATCTCACGTAGAACTTAGATTGATCGCGAAACCGGTTTGCGTTCTACAAACGACCTCAAACTATGGTTCTTGCCATTTTTATCGACGATAAATTTAAATCCAGCTCGAGCATAGATAATCGAATGGATAAAGGTAATATTACAGAAGAACGTTACGAGTGACGAAATCATTTCAATTCTCAACGATGTCGAATCTACAGAAATTAGAATGAAATTTCGAATCTGAAGGAACCCGATTTCTTTGGAATCTAGAGAAATTCAAACGAGATTTTCAATTGAAATCTAAACAAGTTTCCGGAGTCTAAAGAGAATCACAGTAGAACTTTCCATTGGAACGAATCTAAACGTATTCTGTCGAACCTGAAACAAAATTCTTATCGAACAAAGGCATTGTTACGAGAGAAACAAGCGAAGCGTCGGTGATCACAAGAAGTTACATTATTCGGTGTGTAAATGTCGACTGGTTACGCGTTGATTAATCGGAGGGAACGTGTTGATTGTCAATAAGCGTATGCCTGGGGAACGGAGCGTGTGGACTCGTAAACGTTCCTCGGAAAATTCGCAGCTAATTGATTGTGCGCAGCGGCGCGGCATACAAATCATGGAATCAGGTTATCCGGTGGAAAAAACGGAACGAAAAATTCACCTGCTTCCTCCGTCAACACCATCAGAGGGCTGGCTTCTTGTAGAACGTGTTTGATCCTGTTCGTCGGGAATTCCACGTCCAGTGGCAAGTACGCCATTCCGGCTTTGATGATGGACAGCAACACGGTCGGCAGCCGATGCGACGGCTTCATGCATACCGCTATTAATGATTGCGACGACTTTTCCGGGTCCGCCAATTTTCTAAGGACCCGAGCGATGCTGTCGGTCAGCTCGTCGAGTTCACCGAATGTCAGCGTGTACTCTTCGCCGTGGTCATCTGCGTTCAGGAATAAATGATTAGCCATTGAAAGCGTGCGAATGGAAAGCAAGATCTGCACAGCAATCGTTTTTCATGGAAACTAATACAGGGAAGACTGATCTTGTCCATTATCATGTTCGCTAAATTAAAAGTAAAATTGACTTTGCTAGTTCTAATATTTTGCTAACTGAACATTAGAGAATGACTCTGCCAATTATAATATTCAATTAAAATGCTCACTATTATTTTTCGACGTAGCTTACACGAGTCAGAAGCCAATACTTAATGGAATAATGTTCTCTTTAGTTATTAAAGAAATTTACTCTTTTCTAGATCAGAAAGCCCTTCGTATAACTTCCGAGTACATTATACAATAATTACAGAAGCGGAAACATTGATACTCCCAATTCCTGTTTTCCAGGCTTCGCATTCGCTCCTAAGCGACTCGTACGTAGCGTACAAGTGCTCGAAATGGACAGACCAGCGAAAAATATCAATGATAAATATTCCATCCATAGGTCTACGTGGAACTGAATTTTGAAACGCGCTCGCGATGGATGAATCCCCAACGGGACTATCCGTTGATCCTGCGTGCACGCGTCCAGGATCGAATTCCTCGCACACATTTCTGTTTCTTCGAATGGAAGAACGGCAACAAGGTGTTAAGAAACGAATCAGCGGCACGGGGGAAAAAAGCGAGAAACCGCAATTGTAATAGGGATATCATTAACACAGCATACGGTGTACAATTGATGTTAATTGATTTCATTCGCCTCTCTTTCCGCCCTGGGAATCCTTTCTCCGTCCGTTGCGTGCCGCGGATTTTTTTTACCCTTAATAACTCCAATGACAGTACCTTCGTGGTAGATCGCCAGCTGATTGGAATAATTTGCCGCCGCCTCTCTGAATAATTTATGAAGCAAATCCTTCTCCTTGACGCCGTCAGTCTGCCGGCCTTTTAAGACCGACTGCTGTAGAATGCTGCCCATCTGGTACAGAACGATTTTTAAAGATCGTTAACATCCTCGTTTCAATCGTCTCATTCACTCTCGCACGCGCACACATGCACAGACATCGCGGATTAACCCTTTGCACTCGAGCGGCGCCTTTCAATCGCCGTTTGATTTGACCGAACAAAACGATGAACTTTAGAATTCGATGTCAAATTTTATAGAATTTATCGACACGTGGAACATCGAGATAAACTAGTTCTGTCACTTAATTTATACAAGGTATTTCTTTCTGTTAGTTGTAGAACGTATCGTTGATGTTTCATCAGAAAATAATGAATATTTCTTGAGAAAAATATTCTCGAGTGCAAATGGTTAACGCATAGAATTCATAATTTGATAATAATATTAATGAACGTCCCGGTCCGGGAGAGTCATTGTTAATCGTCGTTGCGGCGCGATTGTGTTTCGCACCGGTACTCGGAATGGTTATTGTCCAATCGAGATTGACACCGTGATTTACGAGCGTTTCCGAATCCCAGTAGACGAATAAAACGCGCGCCGCCGGGCTACGAGCGAATTACTTTTCGCTGTTTCTTCGATTACCGGGAGATTAATGGCGGATCTCCTCCGGACGGACGCGTCACGGTTTCACGAACGAAAATGGCGGCATTCGGCGCGTTCCGCGGCGCCGAGGCAGACGTTCTTTTCCTTCGGCATGAAGAAACTGCGATAATTAACCGTTTGCCGATGATTGCCGACCTTTTTGCGAGATCCAGTTTGCGTATTTGGAAAAATGAATCGCGGACAAATGATGTTATTAGTCGAACAGCAACAGATCAGCGTGTAGCTTCCCTTTTTTATCGTTCGAGCAATTGATGTATAATTTAGCTGCGTTTTGTATATTTCGAAGAATCTTTTGTTTATAGGATTAGTAGAACTAAAACACGATAAGAATTTATTGTATCAGCTCGTTTATTCTTATATTTAGTGTTTTTGTATGCTCATGTTGCTTGTAGATCTAAGTATTTAGATACTAGTATCGCGATGTTATTGCTGACATTAATTATTACGAATCATTGATATTGGCTTTCATTAGAAACCTCGGAAATAGTAAGTACTTTGATTATTATTCTGAGCAACTCCATTAAGGAAGCATATTTTAATCTTTCCCGCGGAGAACTGTAGATAATGCCTGTGCGGATCACGTGGAAGAATATTTAAATGAACGAATTTCGAAACCATCAAGGAAACATGCTCCTAGATCAAGTTAATTACGTATTCAGAGAATGGGAATACTGATTATTCCAGTGGAACTCTCGTTTCGTTGCTCCCCTTATTTTAATATAAAGGAACGTAAGGAGCCTTTTGTTTCTGTTTCGGTGTTAAATACCGTATAGAATTGTTCGAGCGTTGGTCTGCCAAGTAGCTCGTGTTGTTTGACAGTAACAAGTCTCTAACCTTGCTGCAATCGGTGTCTTTCGGGCGTGCCAGCGGAATCGGGACGTGAGATTGGCGGTGGTTGCACGCCACTCTCTCGATTTCATAACGAATAGCGGTGTTATGATGAATTATGGTGGTTTCGTAAAGTCTAGCGACCCCTTTAATATTTCGACTGCTTAGTCAGCTAAACTCGTACCGTCAAACGAATCTTGACTTTCGAACGCCATCTCCAGAAATTGAATTAGAAAAATAGAATAACTCGTCGATTTAAAATCGAATCCCATCGATTTTATACATCGAACCTCTCAATCGCTGAAGTCTCTATAGATTCACTCTCGAAGTCCCCATAGAGGAATCGCGAATCGACTGAACTGCTCGATAGTTTCAATGCGAGAGACAACGAATTTCATCGACGCAATTCCACGAGCTTTTCGAACAAAATGGCAATTGCGGCGCAGCAACGGTAGACGGATAAGTGCGACCTTCGGCTGACGGAAAAGAAATGATCGCTAAGGTGATCTGGTTCCATACCGGGTCGATGGAAAGTTGAAAACATTCCTCACGGCCAGTTCGTTTCGGAACTGGTTGGTTTTCATGAATCGAAAGAAAAAGAAAGCGACAGAGAGGAGGAAGTGTGTCTCGAGATCAAAGCTGCCCGGTGACATTCGGCTCGCGATGAATCAGATGTTACTCGGCGAGCAACACAATCGCGAGCACACCGATGCGTGAAGATAAGACAAGTTTATGTTGCATCTAATTATCTCCCTTCGACGACCGTACCTGTACAAACACTTTGTCGACATAATTGTCTTCTTTCCGTTGCGGAATATTATGCAAAACGCACCTGTTAGCCGCGACACACTCGCGCGCGCCGGATCTCGGCGCGAGCGACGCGTTCAACGTCTATCTGGAACATCTTCACCTCGAATAATTCGCGCCGGTTTAATTTACGATCGAAACGGACGTTATCCGAGAGCATCTCCGCGCGCGCGCGAGATCGCGTCTAAGAGGAACCTGTTCGTCCGGGATGCGAAGATGGATCTTAGATGCCGGGAGATTACGTTAAGCGTCTTAAATGGACGCAGTCGAGTGCACGCCGGTATCTATCATCTGGGAAAAGCGACCCGCAAGGATTTCGTATACAAAAAATTGCACTCTTATCGCAATCTCCTGTACAGAGCACGTTCACCTGCGGGCAAAAACTTTCGTACAGGCCTGCCAGTTTCTCGGTAATTGCCGAATGTTGCGCGATTCGCGATACTCGAGTTCTCTTTCGTGGAAAGCGCTCGCGCGAGGGCATCGTGCAATTTTTCGATTTATTAGATGCTTAATCGACCGGAGTGGAACATTCCTCCACTTTGTGCAATGTTCCGTTTAATCAGTTATCGATTATTCGCGTGAAAGAGTGCAGAGAGATCTTTGCACTGCTAGGAACTTCTCGATAGAATTTATTTTACATTCTGCTCGAGGTTGTTGGAGTAACTTGACACTGAAACTAAGCAGTCAGGCTTATTTCCAACTTTTCATAGAAGTTAGGACATTACTTGAGTTGTTCGTTGAACGTCTTTCGCGAAAACGCTTTCAGAATTTGAATACTTGAAATATGAGCATTTTGAGAAGCAGTTTGACCTATCCGGTGTTTTATTTTTAGTTTTATTTTTAATAGGAATATGAACGTTTTATGGGTGTTCGTTTCGCCTGAGCTTGTCTTTCTCAATGCCTGCCGCGAAAGTGCATCTCGGAGTGTCCGATAAGTCGACGTTACGCGTTCCGAACATTCTCCGGCATCGGTTTAGAAGCAGAAATTACCATTTTACCACGGTTCCGAGGAAACCCCGATGGTTGCGAGATGGCAGACGAATTGATTGAAAAAAGTCGCGGGGAACGCTCCTTTCGACTCGGAACGGGGCCGTGTGCTCAAACGGAAATTGGCGGTATGAAATACAAATGCGTGTGCTGCTTATGTAACAGCGGCCATTATGCAAGCTCCGCGAAGAAAAATTCGCGTTCCACTCGATGAAAGTTTCCCGTGGTTTTACTCGGCTTTTCAAAAGCCATCGCAACCGACACTTATCGCTGATGATTCTATATTAAAAGGTTCGTTTACGATGGAATAAAATCGGAATCCGTTATCTTGATAGTATATCCGTTAACTTAATTCTTATTACGCGTTATCTTCAAGTGAATATTAAAGTCAAGTTCCCTCGGTCGTAATTAGGTGTTGCATTCGTGAAAATTCCCGTTGAAATCTAAATCATTAGAATGGCCGGCGTTAAGTGTGGAGCGTATCGCAAAGGTGACTTTCAATTCATTGAATTGTTAATTAATCCGACGTACAATTGCATTCATACTCTATCAATCAACCGATAGTGGACAATTAAAGTGAAAGGGAAGTGTACTGACGTCGGTTCTGCCGTAGTTTAATTGCCGCCAATTTATCGAACTCCGCAGGAAAAGTTCGAAGCAATTGACTCGGCACTTTTACGCGGCTTTAAGGAATATGAAATCTTGCGACGCTAATCCGTTGTTTGTTAAATATCTTCTGCTTATTACATTCAAACTGAAACACTTCAACGATTTCTAATAGGATCGTACCGATTACAAACTTTTCTATTAAATTTCAGTATACTTTCTCTTTCGTTTCTTCTGTTCGATATCGATTGACGACCATCTTTCGTAATTGAACTCTACCGCTTCTAAATATCGAACATGTCGACTCGATGAGCACGTTAATTAATGTAACGAATCGGTTTCAAGTTATTAATCCACACAGCCGGCCATAAAGCGAATAGGTAAATAAATAGATTGACATTTACGAGCACCAAAGTGTCGGTCAGCGCCCGGTGGCAGCGACAGCCAAACCAATTTCCCAACCGAAGCTGTTCACCAATACTTTCTAACGGTCGAGAGGGAACGCGGGCACGAAATCGCGTCGATATTCGAATTGTTCGCAGGTCAAGAATGCTAATTATCCTTCCGTCAATTTAAAAGATTCTTTCACAATCTCACGATTATCTTTCAATCTGCCTCATTTATTTTACTTTTCGAAGGATTCAAATTTCATTGGTGAAACATTGGTTGGATCTTCATATCTTTCTATCCGGAGTTAATTAACAAATTGGAGACTCAGAAGTTAATCAGTGTAAATCACTTTTCATTTCACAGTTACAACACTTGGTTCTCAATAACGTCTCACGCGCGACTTCAATTTCAGAAACTTTAAACAAACCTCTCAAAATTCTCTTCGTACGATGTAACGTTACGTTAGAATCATGAGACCAGTATATATTTAATAATTCGTGGAGAATTACTCCAACGCGAGCAGCGAAGAGCTCTCGTCGTAAATGCCTACGGTAGAAAATTTCAACAAAGCAATTAGGCCACTACCCGCACGATGGAATCTGGCACGAAGGCAGCAACACGATCGCATCGTTAATCAAAAGTTTGAGTACCAGAAACACTGTTGAAACGTTTCAAATGGAAAACGTCGACTTACACCGGTCGACTTCCTGAAAGGCTCGTTTACGATCGACGCATCGATCCCTTTGCACCGTTTTCTAATCGAATCAGCCGGGAGTCTCTTTCGCACTCACCTCTGAAGGTGTCGTCCAACTCGTTATCCTCAGTCACGAGCCGTTTCGCGTGGTCCTAAGGGTTCAGCGGTAGCAAAGAACTCGCCGCGGCAACGTCACGGTAACACTCGGCTCAACGAAACGGCTGAATTCTGGAGAAACTTTCACTCGTTCCGCACGCGTTTCCCGTGAGCACACCGTCGTTCTCTTTTCCCGTTGAGAATCTTCCCAGCAGACCCGTCCGAACGCTCTTCTGCTCGTCCCACACTTTCTTCTCTCCGCTTCGACGTCGAGAAACTCTTCGGACAACTCGCGAAATCCTCTGAAATCCGCTGATCTTCCTCCAACCACTTCTTCTCCACTTATTCAGCGTTCTCTCGTGGCGACCGATTATTTCTCGATTACTATCGAATCTGTCGGTTGGCGATTGGTCTCGGAAGCTGTAGATCGTCGATTGATCTCGGCGGTTCGTGTCTGCGAAGGTCCAAGTCCCGTCGAAGGGCAGATAACGTGTTTAATCCGGGACGCAATTCGATGACCTTACGGGTTGGTCATCACCGGCCCGATTACTCGGTGAGAATGTCTCCTCCCGTTGACCGAGCACATGCTTTTATATGGAACCGGTTACGAGGACCCTGAATTGTTCGTTGTCCCCCATCCTTCCACCACCATCTCTGCATCTTTTGTGCCGGCGTTGCTGCACCGCGGTGGCCCCTTCGACGTCGTCCGCCGACGTCAACGCGATCCTACTTCTCCACTTTTCCTCTGATCGGCTGAGTTCCTTTTCTAATTTCCTTGGTGCGCGCTTCGTTTTCAGTTCTTCCTTTCGGGAACGTCGCCATACTTGCGCCCGTTGGGCTTGGGAACTTCTTCGCGGCCATGTTGGATTCATTTTGACGATCGTTACAGCTCTTGCGGCATTGTGCGCCTACTTTGTAAAGTATTTGCGTCTCTTCACTGGGTTTTCTATTATAAATTTGTATTTTTTCTTGTGGTCTTTTCTAGTAATTCGTAATTATTTGGAATAGTTCGCGGTGATCTCTGATAATTTCGAATAATTTGGAATAATCTCGAATGATTTATGTCGTAGATTTCTATGTCTATTTGAAATGACTTTGAGACGTTGCATTTGGTGCCGGAAACTGCAACTATATTTTGCGATAAGATTTAAGATACGTCATAATTTCTGGATCGTTTTAATTAGATCATTCGAAACACTTACATTTCTCAGTAAAATTCATAACTAGATCAAGAGGAAAATCCACGTTGCGTCTACGCACAACCAGGTAAACCGACATGAGTCACTGTCTCCGTCGATCAACATTCAGTTCAAGTCACAGGACTTCCCATTTGAAAATTATGCTAAGTTCCTGGAAAATATCTTGCTCAGACAATGTTGCAATATCACTTGCAAATAATCGTCTTGTTTGCTTTCATAATTGTAGTAATTATCTCGAAGACTTCCTCAACACTGTAGCTACCGAACAGTCAAGTTGACTTTCCGCCATCGTTTTACAGCTAATAGATTTGTTGACATTTCAATCGACTGATATCATGGTTCGATACAAAATCACTTGATTCAGTGATTTCTAAGAAAAACAGTCGATTTTAACCGCGCAAGAAACAGGGGATGTGTCATTATGACCAGTTTAGTAGCTCCAGTGCTAACTTCGACGCAAATAAACAGGAAAATTATTCTTTCATTATCATTCTTTTCGCAGAACAGTCAAAAACCGTCAATTTTAAAACTGACAACTAAACATTCAATAGACAAAGCGATTAGGCGTGCATGAGTCAGGAATTTAAACGAAAAGTGACTATTTATTAAAAAAAAGTCATTCCCAATCTAAAATACCTGTTCCACCAACCGATGCAACTGTCCCCGATCTTTCCAAGAAATGTCAGAAAACTCACAGGAATCTCAGCGACGAAACTTTCCGTTCGAACCGATAGAAACCTAAGTCACGCCGAATTTGCTCGCGGCTGCGCTCGCGACGAGTCCAATTACATGGTCCGCGATGAAATTTCACGGCAGCCGTGTCGAACGTCGGCCACGGCCTTCGCTGGACCAGTCGATCGTAAAATTATTTCGTTTTGCCGTGCCATTAAATGTCCGGCCGCCTCCGTTTAACGCTGCATTGGAAAATGATCGGCGCGCACCGACTCCGGTCGCAGTAAATCGCGATTCCCCGCGGATTCAAGGGGATCCGAGGCGATTTATTTAATAAATATCGCCACTTGCGTAACGTCAAGGCAAGGCGAGGCGATGCGCAACATTTTCAGCGCACCACAGCCTATTATTCCTACTGATTCATTATTTCATTACACACTATATATCGGCGGAGATTCAACGCGCGTCCGTGTTCGCGTGCAACAATTTTTCAAGTCTCCATTGGCGGCGCGCAATGATTTCAGATGTTTTGAAAGCGTTCGGGGAATTGTGACGCTAATAAATCACGAGGATCATTAGTAGTATTGTTGCTGCACGTTTTGTTTTTCAATGCGCGCACGCGACGCGCAACAATTACTTCAACGCGAACATTTCCATTGGCTCTCCGCGGAAATGTTTAGGAAACTGCCGTTTCAGTTACCTCTTCGATGCACTGCTATGTCAGTAACAAAGAAGAGAAAGGTTCGTTAGAATGAACGAGTGATTTTTATGTTTTCTCACTAGTTTTTCGACAAATATGTATAATCTCCGTTTTTCTTGGTATTTTCCGAGTAGCTCTTAGTCTTCCTAGTAATCCAAGCTCCAAGTTCGTCTAGCAGTTCTCGGTTCTCTCGGTGCTCTTCAGCAGGTTTTCTCCACCACGGCGAATGATTAATTTGCATCTGACTCGAGATCCTGATTTAGACGTCCCAGCGATGCTTACGGAGACTATTAATTCACCTGGAAGTTGTAAATTCAAATTGTATCGGACGGGATTACCGCGCGATACAAGATAACGAGAGTCCATGAAATCCTAACGACATGTCACCTCTAATTATTACAGCGCGGTTCGCGAGCCGTTTTTCCGGCGAACACGCGGCCAGCCACGTCAGCCAGGGAATGAAGGGAAAAAGCTGCTCCCAACATCCGAGGCGTTCGGACGACGCGTCGACGCTCTGGAAATCGTGCGAACCGTCCGGGGAATACCATCGACGAATTTCCTGTCTGCTCTATCCTGTCCGGGAACTCGAGGAAGAAGTGTCCCGTCCCCGCCGGCGAACGATACCGAACTATTTATAGTGCAATTTTTTCCTTCGCCGCGCTTGTTGTTCGCTTCTCCTTATTCGCGACGAATGACTAAGTAAATACCATTATTTCCCCGGCTGGATACATTCGTCTGAGGCTGCGAGCAGAAACATATTAACAAGCCAATCAACGGGATCTTTCATTCATCCTTATTCCTCTTAATTGCCCGGAAGCTTGATGTTGTACAGCAAATTGCGACCCATTCGGCGCTAACCAGATTGAAAATCTCCGCTGGAATTCGAGGGATTAGTAACACTTAATAATCCATCTAACGATCCGTTATCTGTTTTCGAATTCAACGAATGCGGAGATCAATTAGAATACTGATATCAATTCAAATCCCCGCGAGCCGTTGCGCAAGACTGCTCGAAAGCGAATTTTTCATATCCACCTCGCTTCTGTGCAATTACCTCACGGCTAACGGCGAGAAAAAAACCACGAGGGAACTGTTGCACGGTTGCGATGGAAAAATAATTTTTTCACGCCCACGTCGATTTTTCATAATCGCAAGCGCGCCGCAACATTCTTAATTCGCCGATCTCCATACGGAACCGTTTTGTTCGCCATTGTTCGCGCTCGAGACCCGTTTAATTGGGATCCTTGAGGTTTCAACGCGATCCCCAACCGTGGCGAACCTTTGCCGGCCTGGACGCTCTCGCTAATTGCGTAAGCCCGTAAATCCCGGATTATCCAACGCTGGAATATTCAACTGGACGACACGCGGCGGAAAAAAGGGGAGCAAAACAATCGGGAAAAAAACTACGAACGAGACGCCGCTGATGCTTCGCCGTGGAAAATCGCGCGATCCGCGTAACGGGAGATCTCACGGACGATCGTGTTCGCGGATCCAAGGTCGCCCTGCACGCCTGATCGAGCTTCGACGAGCGAGCCGCTGAAATTTCTGAAACACGGATAATCCATTCACCGCCGAGCGGGACGATTGATACTTTGTTGCGGACGACGAGTCGGGGACGACACGCCGAGCGGGAAGATCAATGGAACTCGGAAGAATAGTTTTTAGGGAATACGTATCGCATCTTCGGAAGTGGCGATGAGAGTTGGATACGATGTTGACGTGTAATGAGGATTTTTTAACCCTTTGCACTCCAGAAGATTTTCACCGGAAATATTCAATATTTTCTAATGAGATACGGATTTTCTCAGATTGAATTAAGAAATCTTGCATGTATTGAGGAAGAGAACTATCTTCTTTCAATATTTCGTACATTGATGCATTATACAAAGTTTAATATTAAATATCAAAGTTTTGCTGTGTCAAATCATTTGGTGACTCAGAGGAGCCTCCGGAGCGCAGAGTTAAAATATTTGGGATTGGATGTGGATAAGCGACGAACGTGCGATAGACGAAAATTGGAATATTCTGGAGTAAATTGGGTTTCTGTGATATCGAGTTTGATATGTTGATCATGTTCGTGTTAAACGAATCTATTCCAAATGCACGTGAAATTGGGGCGCGATGACGAAAGAGTGTAGAAAGTGTGCGAGCGAGATGAATATATCCGAACGTACATGTTGCGCTTGCGGTTTGATTTAGATTGATTGTTTCATTGCAGGTGGTGTAGTGAAAATATCGTTTATACGAATCAAATGTTCTCTTTCCGTTCGCAAAATAAAACCGTCAGTCGTAATTCGATGGTAATCCGTGGGTGAAGTATCAACACCGCTCTCTCTTGTGTGCGCCGAGAATCGACCTGAAAGGAAACAAAATCATTCATTTGTTATCGTTGGTAAATTTATCGTTGGCAATAACGCTGCTCGTTTTTCTTTCGTTTCACCGGATCAGTTCGCATCCTTTCTCGTTTCCATGCGTCTGCTGAAAACTTCAACGGTAACGAGTAATGAATCATCGTAATATGATGATTGATTTTTTTCTCATCGTAAAACTGTCATTCGTGAAAAGTAACAATTAATCCGAAGTTAGAGAACGCAGACCGCGAGATATCTCGTAGCTGGCAGCGAATGGGTTCAACCGCGACCGGTGATTTACGCCTCTCCGCACGGCGATTATCGACTCCTTAAAGCGTTCGGCCGGGTAACGGCGGATAATTGGTTAATCACCTGCTCCGCGGGTCGAACGTTAATTACCGCGGATGGTGGAGTATGTCAACTGTGAAGCTGATTCGTTGCGACGTATCCGCGTGTCTATGGAAAATGCTACTGATTACGGGAATAATTGCTAGGCCATTCCACTGTTTCTCATGGAATGTCCGCTCTTTAATTGGAGCAATTGGAACTTGAATTGGAGCAGTTGGCGACGAGGGGAGAACCATCTTTTTGTTATTATTGCTCCTGTGATTATTATTATTATTATTATTATTACTGTTATTATTGTCATTGCTATCGTTATCACTGCTGCTATTGTTTCCACTGCTACTACTGTTATTATTATTATTACTACTATTGTTATTATTGTCATTGCTATCGTTATCACTGCAGCTATTGTTTTCACTGCTATTACTGTTATTAGTATTATTATTACTGCTATTGTTATCACAGTTTTTATCGTTACTACCATTGTGATCGTTACTAGTGTCGTCATCATTTCTGTACCGAGAATTGCAAAAGAAAGTAGCGGAGTTATCGAGTCCGAGATAGCATTAAAAACGAAACTGTTGATCGAGGTTGTACATCCTGAAACAAACTAACCGAAGTGCAGAACAATTTGTACTTAATTAGCCGTTTCCTCGCGGGTAATCCGTATTTTTTTCCCCTCCCGTACGATGCCGTTAGAAGTCTCAAAAGTTGCGTCATGCAACACGGATGAGCTTTGATCGTCCGCGGGTACTGTTATCCTCTTCGCAGCGTCATCGTTATAGTGCCTATGCATCGGAGATAATGACTGACTCGGCCAGCCAATTGATTACTCGGTTCGTTCCCGTTTCGACGAAGATCCTACGCTGCGCTAACTGTGAAAGCTAACTGCCGTACGATCATTTTCAGAACTGTGTCTATGAATACTTCATTCGCCATTAATCATTCCAATATTAATAACGAACAATTCGGTGATTATTTCCCGAAGCTAACCTTGAAACATGTTGTCAAAGTCACTGAAACCTTTCAACGCAATGCGAAACTTTAATGTTACATAACTTTTGAACCAATACTCACTGTCGGAACGTTCGAAGTCCTGGATGTACAGAGCAATGACCTTAACGATATATGTCAAGATCAAGGTCATGCGAAGTTCACTCTTTTTATAAATAAACACGAAACCTCCTCATTCCGGGACATATTTTTGCTAATGTTTAGAAAACTGAATTGTTCAGAATCAAGTTCCCATAACATATTTCAAGGTCATCCTTAATTACCAATAATTCTTGTTAGCTGTTCAGTGCACCTTTACTTCAGAAGTGAACCATCGATAACAGGTAAATAATCATTCACCTGGACCTACGTGCAGCGAAATAGCATCGATTTCTATTCAACCGAGCTGGAACTCGTCGCGACATGTCTCGCACGTCATTCTCTGGCAACGAGTTAAGATTCTTCGAGTTTCACCGAATGCTCTTCTCGCGTGCTACGCATGCTTTAATGTTTCGTTGCGTTCACCGCATTAGCATAGCCAATCAACGCGCGAAGCTATTAAATGCGTACGGCAACATGTTATTTCCTTATCTGAAGATAAATCGATATCTTTAGAAGCCGCGCGAATGATCCATGAATATTCACGTTGGTCACACGGTGGCTAGTTTTTCCGCGCATACCTCTGGGAAATATTTCGTTCTTTTGATTCGCAATCGTTACAATCGCAGACGTAAGAGTCGAAACAAAAAATTCACTTGCGCGTGGTGCTGCGCGAGGCGCTAGAAAAAGTGTCATTCATATTCAGGACTGTCGAGACAGCTGCAATAGGCGATTCTTCGAGCCAAGAACTCGGGTTGGAGGATTGCTGGATCTAGCACTTCAGCCGGTGGATCCTGGATCTGAGAAATGAAGCTTCAAGTTTAGTCGTACACTTTGCAACTGAACATTCGCCATTTCGGCGTCTTTGAAACAATGTTTGCTCATGTTAGACCCTGGGACCAGACGTTCTTGTAATTTTAGTCTCTAGGTCTAGAGGTTTTTTAACTTTACATCTTTCCTTTAGAAGTTCCTAGAATTTTAGTCTGTATTGGAATACCCTGATGACGTCAACTATCAGCTACTCCACCGATTAAGCATAAATCTGTTTACTAAATACGTTGCACTACCGAGATTGTGTTTACTGTCTAATTTACTTATCGTTTTGGCGACTCGTGCAGCATGCAAGTTTTACGGCACGCTGGGGAGGAATTGGAAACACCCAGGCATCTTTTTCCTGTTGCGACGGTGTATTCCCCATTGACGTCACCGCGGCTCTCAGAATTTCACAGGTCGTTGCCTCACCATTAAACGGACGATTCCACTCGGCGGACGGTGATCCTCCGCGACTTTCGAGAAAACGAGGAAAATTCTGTTCGACGCGATCTATTTGCGTATCTGCAACTACGCGCGTCGATTAGTCATCATTTTCATTGAGCAATTCGTTACTTTTCCCTCGACTATCCTCTATCTTTCAAACGAAGAAATCTTTGTTATTCACGAGGAGAGTGTCCCTCAAAATTGCCAATAACATCTTATAAACATTGACAAGATTTTATCGAATCTCTAAATTCGGTTCCAGTACAAGAGGTTAACACTGAAACTACCGAGCAGTCGAATTGTTTTTGAGATTCCTCCATAGAAACCCCAAGAGTGTATCCATTGAAACTTTAACTGATTTACAATTCAGTTTTCCTATCGCTAAATCAATTTCTCGAATAATTTCCCAGAGAAACCTCTGTTATCTATCCACTAACCGAAAAAAGCGGACATCAGGAATGCGCCATTTTGACGCGTCCGGTAGTTTCAGCGTTAACGAAACATTTGGAATCGAGGAATAAAGGTTTACCGTTCCGCGACGAGGAAAATCTTGTTTTCCTTCGCAATATTCGCGGTTCGATTAATCAGCATTGACCAGCGTCGATTCAAAGAACGGCCCTCCCCCTGCGGCGTCGTCGGACGAGTATTTTGCGTGTTACGTAACCTTGATTGACCGTCTGATTGGGTCAAGTGGCGAGAACAATAGGTGGTGTCTGGTCGTCACTCCTCGCTGTGCATAACCCTATTTTACAATCTTAATTTATCACATCCGCGGCAACGCCGCCCCGCGCGTCGGTTGTGTTGCACACGCGGGCGCGCTTCCTCGTTGCCGGAAGTGTCACTTGGACGTCTCGTTTCGCCGCCGATAATCTCGGAATTGAGAAGAAACCCCAAGGGCGATTCTATAAACCGCGGCAATCGCGTCGTCACCCTTTCATCCTCTTAATTCTGCGTCCTTTACTCCCCGAGCGCCATTTTTATATACCCTACCTCCCTCCCCTCTGCAACATACCGCTTCCTACGTCACGATCGAACAATCTACGCAACAACTTCTAAACACTTCAACAGCAATACCATATTTTATATTTTCCTCTCGTTTACACTGCAGATAAAGTTCTAGGATACAAACGACTGGTGACATTATTCGAATGCCACTCACGCGCAAAGCTTCCCAATGATCGACAATTGCGATTGAAATCAGTAATAACAGTGGGAACAGTAATAACGGTAACAGTATTAACAATAGCAATAATTAATAAACACTATGTATCTAGTTGCGTTGATAATTATCCTCCAAATCATTAATACCATACGAGTCGCTCAGGAGCCAGTCGATTTTCTGATATTCCCTAATTTCCTCAATTTCAATGGAATAAATGATATCCTTCCTAATTATTAAACGATCTACTCGTTTATTCAAGGAACCCCTTCTTTCTATCCGAGTATATTGTATAATCTCAGAAATCGAGAGTTCTCTCGATTTCCGCTTTCTCACTTAACAATGGCTTCCGAGCGACTCGTGTATCGCGCGACAAGAACTGCGATACCGGTACACCTACGCAAAGGACGAAGGGGGGCGGATCAATTTGCGTCCGGAAGATCGACATTCCCATTGAGGAACCGAGTAAAACTGAATGAGCCGAAGTAGCGGCAGCTTTTGGCAACGCGCGCCAATTAGTCCATGAATTATGCAGGCCCGGTTACGCAACTGCACTCTCGCAAATCGCCACGGTTACCAACGAACGCCGTTTCGAGCCGGGTTTCCCGTGGACCGTTCGATCGTCATCCATCACCGGCTCCCGTGGACTGCTATCCGACAGCTTCGACGTTCATTGAGCACCATTACGCGGGTTCGGCTCGTCTGCGGATAGCCTTTATTGAATTTATTACCGCGCGACTGTTGTACATTCGTACACGTCGCACATATTTACCGCTCTCGCATAAACGGCCCGGCTTACGCGTGAACGCGCCCGGGAACGCCGTATTTACTGGCCAAGAACGTGTTACGGGCAATTATCATTAATCAACCGGTGGTTGTACGGTCAATATATATGTGTATATATATATATTCTTTTTACAAATCTCGCGAGTGACGGACAACGTCGGTTTCGTGTAATTGCCCGGCACTTTCTTCATCTTTATGCAGATATAGATTTTTCCTCGTTGATTTAATTAACGACGAGTTGTACTGTTAATGTATGCATAGCTTTTTTTATAGATATCCTGACAGTGCGACTTTCGTGTAATTGTCGGTTTTTTTCTTGTATTTCTTCTATTTATGCAGATATACATTTTCTTCTTTTATCAAGACTTTCTCTGTATTTCTTATGTGTACGCAAACGTACAGTGTGTTGTTCACTGATTTAGGGTTGAAGATTCTATCGAGGGTTTCTTTTAGTTTCGAGTAAGGTAACGTTGAGATATTCAGTTTGAAGAAGTCGTTAGTTGGATTGAATTTTATAAATGCATAGAGATGGTAATCTAGGCTTTAATAACGCTTCTACGCGGTGTCTTGCAATCTTGGATCGACTGGGTGTATCAATAAATAATTCACCGCGTTCCGTCGTGTTTAATATTCATTTTCCAGGAGATTAGAAATTCGTACAGTCGTCGGTGCGACAGGCATGTACCGTTCTCCAACGTCCACAGTCGCTTCTAAGAAGGAAATCTTGCGGGTAGCTGTATTTGGTTGGAGCTATGCTATCAGTTTATTCAATAAAAATAGCGGATTATTCGTTGGTACACGAACATCGTCGGAAACGTGTAGCTTATGTACAGAACTATCGCGAGGAGGTTTTTACAGAACTGTTTCCTCTCATTAACGACGCTTGTTGTTCAATCAGTGTCGACGATGTCGGAAATTCTCGCGATTCCTTTATCGTGTGTTGACTAGATGTTGCACATTTTTTTTCGGTTACTTTTCACGTCTATTTTGTCTTTTTTCTACAGAAAACACGCGAATGCTCTTTTAACAAACCTATGGCCAACTGAACGGAACGGAACCAAACAAAACGGAATCAATCTCGAACGAAATCGACCAGAACTGAATCTACCAGGAACAATTCGAATCAATTTGTATTGCACTAAACGGAACTTTATTCAGATACAACTCAATTACTCCAGTTCAATTCGGACTGACTCGATTCAGCGCGAGGTAAATCGAATCGGATCGCTCGAGACCGCCGCGAGCCGGATCAATTTCAATCGATTCGCGTTGAATCGCTTCGGATCAGATCGAAATCGAGTCGGATCGGTTTACATTGATTCCTATCGATACGAATTCCATTGCTAAACCATTCCGAATCGAACTGAACCGAACAGATCAGAGGAAGACGCTAAAACAGGGCTGCGTTTAACACGTTGACCGCCGAACGGACGCCGATCGGAATTTCATTAACCAAGCTAATACATTCGTGTTAACAAGTTGATCAACAAACTGAACACATTCGAGATCGACGACGTGATTCTACCCAACTTCATTTTTTCGAAGAATGTCGTTACTTCAAATTCTCTAGCCGAGTATCGACATAGACAATCGAACAGCGACGCGTTGTAGCGCTCAACTACATTAACACGTTGAACGCCGCACGATTTCGCAGAGGAAAATACACAGAATGGAAAAAATATGATATTAAATCATTTGATCGAATTGCATTATTATTCCACGTTCATCCAACTGAATGTCACTGCATTATGCAGCATTATTTACAATATAGAAATGTTTTCATATAATTGTTTCATTGAGTGAACTATAGCAATTCGATTTGGTCGAAAGAAACGCGTTAAAGAATTCTACGCGGTTTCGAATGCGTTCAGATTCTCCGTAGCGGCTGCTCTATTGTCCTTCTTGCGTCTCGCAAGTCGAAGAGAATTCGGTTCGTTCGATAGACCGCCAAGAGAATGAGTTTCCCAGGTTCCGTATAAAACGTCGCCGGCGAAATTCGGATCACGTGGCAGTCAAAGCGTTAAACGTGTTCGAACTGATTTGAGATCGGTCGTCGGATTAGCCAGATTCGATAGAGACGTTGTCGACGATGTCTCGTGCGGTCTCCTTGTCGGGGTTGCCTCAGACGCTCTTCTCGGATATGGTGCTCCTGATGCTCCTGTTGCTGTCCCTCCTCTGCAAAGTACGGGCGTGCCTCTGTGCACGAACAGGTGGTTCCCTGTCGCTGCCCACTCGCCTGAGGCTCGTGTCCCTCTCGATGCGAGCGTTCTTCGGCGCCGATGGACCTCGGATGTTCGTGTACACCACGTACACGGCTAGAATGCCGACGACAAACATGGCGACCCCGACGCCGCTCACCGTGCCAACCTGCGGTTCACCAACGTGCCATTCATTGGACCAGAAGAGTGAAACCTCGATGCTTTCCCTTCCAACGGTACCTAAACAGCTCTCGTTTGGCGATTTCGAATCGACAAGGAGGCTCGCTAAAGAAAAGTTTTCGTTTTCGAGACGGAGCAGCTGATTGAAATTTTAATCGAATCCGTTTTAATCGGCAGGCAAACGGTTACTAAAATACAGTAATTCCTTAAAAGTTCGTATTCCAATTCAAATTCAGAACGCACTCGCGTCCCTTTCTCTTCAAAATGGCGACCGCCGGCGACACTCCGAAGCGTATTTTAAACATTCACGGCTAACGCGCGCGGCAGTTGTAATTAACAACGGCAATGACGCAGCGACAAATACGATCAAACGAGAAAATAAACGTTTTCCATGAAATCGTTAACCGACGCTGAAAAAGCTGCGTCAAGTTCGCCAAAGAGACGCTGCTTAGGCTTTTTCCAAAGTGCTTCCCGTTACCGGGATTCCAGGTAGAAGTTTAAATAGCCGTCATCCGACTAATGAGCAATAAACTAACCATGGTCCACCACTCGCTGTTATCGACCTCGGACACCAGAACCTGCGCCGCGTCGTCGTCCTCGTCGTGCAGCATTTTAATCTCTTTAGCAGTGGTGGCGCATCCTGTGCGCGTTCCTTTCTCCTTGGCGATCAGTTTCTTGAAAACATTCGGCATCACGTTATCGTCCTTGTCGTCATCGTCGTCCTCGTCGTCGTCGTCGTCGTCGTCGTCGTCCTTCGAGTCGTCGTCGCCCCAGTGCATCGTCGCCTTGTTCTTCTGGACGACCACGCTGCCCAAGTGCATCAGGCTGCCGGCTCTCGTTTTTATCGAGATCACCATGGACATGGGGTCGGACTGCGACTCCTTCGTGTACTCCGCCAGGACGTTGGACAGCACGTTGTTCCAGTCGATGGGATTCACCGGGCTCTTGCATTTCTTCTTCTTGCTGCCGGCCAATTACGCGACGGTGATTTTCTTGCGACACGCGCGTCGCGGGGAGAAAGGAAGGCGGGATACTTTGGTGTAGAAGGAATCTGTTTTTCGAGCCAGCGACGCGCGGATGGAATCGGGTAGACGCTTCTGGTATTCGAAAGCACGCGAAGAAGCAGAACGTAGATGGGTAATTAAACAAGCTAATAGAATGGAGTGGAAATATCTCTTTAGCTCGACGAAGTTTCTTTTCGATGGGTTTCGAAGAGGAATGGTAACTTTATAGACGGCGGGCTAAATAATGGAGATGAATAGCTCGGAATGTAGATTCAGTGTTGCTGTAACTGGAGCTTGTAGGTGAAAAACGGTTATAATGTTCGCTGATGAAGATAACGAAACGATCGAGAGGAGATTCTTATCGAGCTTGTTAGGATCTTGCAAATAACGCGGTGCGTTTTTGCGGCGGGAATGGTAAAAACAATTTCAGTATTGTTCCTTTATACTGTCACGGCGCCGTTTATCCCGGTGAAATATCCGCCTGATAAAATGGTCAACCGTACATCCTTGATCTTAATCGGCAAGTCACCAGCAATTCCCTGGACTTTTATCATTCTTACCGCTCGGAGAATTCTAATGAGAATCATTCTTTCAGCGACTATTCACGCCACGTGTTACGTAAACGGTGGATTTCATTAATATCGACGAAACGGCGTGAATTCATGTCATGGTATTCGCACACTAATTACCCGCGATAATCACTGTGTATACGAAGCGGTACACCTATGGACTTTGCATACTGATCGATCGTTGGTACACCGCGCGGATTAATCGAGCCGTTTCGTCTTCTCGATTGTGGAGAAACGAACGACGTCGAGTCGGAAATAAAGACTAGCGTGAATCGATGTATAGATTGAACAGAAAAATAAATGAAAACCACTTGGCAAAAACTAAACGAAATAAACGAGCGTGTAACGCGCGTCACGAGAAGGATTTTTTGTCGCATTAATCCCTAGATTTACGATCGATTTTATCGACGAAGCAACGCGATACGCGTCATCGATCAATTACAATGTATATTCTCGGACGGACGCGTGATTCGTGTCTATTAGCAGCGATCTTATCGGGGAAACTCGTCCGTTCCTTTATCCGTCGTACCTTTTTCCCTTCGACCTGCACGGGACTTTCTACGGGGAGCGAGCGGGCGGGGGTGCTGATTAACGAGTAATCAAATCATCATGCTCACCACAGCGTGTCTAATGCTTTCGCGTAGACGTTTATCGCGTCCTCGAGCCATCTGACTTCCCTCAGCTCCTCGGCGTCGTACTTTCCATTGTCCTTGCTGGACCACCATTTTGATTTCTCGACTCTCGCCTCCAGTCCCGCGAATTCGTTTCTGAAGCGTGCGAAACGGCGCGTTTCAATATGTAAAATCCGACGTTTCCGCCGGCGAGCAGCGGAAAAAACGAGGCGTCGGTAGAACGATCGTAATGAAAACTTCATGTAGATCGAGCTGATACCGATCGGAGAACGATAAAACCCGCATGCCTGCGGGGAACTGATGCCTAGATCCACCATCAATTAAACACAAATTAATCCACGTAACATGATTTCTTACAATTTTCCTTCTGCCTGGTGTAACGCGATGGCGAAATGAATATGCGGATCGGTCTCGGTATTTCGAGATTCAAAATTTCGGTGGCCGATTACACCGGAATCGAATGTTTAATTATAAATTTACTCGAGAGGGAATTCCGCTTTTCTTATTTCGAACCTTCGATAGAATTTACAATTCTAAACGCATTCAATGAGCCGTATCTCAGGCAGCCGCGATTTTGCAACGTTTCGAATAGGTACCCGCTCGCAGGAAACATGAAAAAAAAAATGCCGAGATTTAATTGAAAGATGATATTGCCGGTTACGGATCTGGGGAAGAAGGTGATCTCATTGGTTGAAAAGCGACGGATGCGGCACGGGGGGGATTTTCAATTGCAACGGATTCGACGTTCAGATAACGGCGTTCGCGATGTGTATGTACCAATGAACTCCGGTTAATCGCGTATACTTACCGTTCGCGTGCATAGCCACCGATACTTCTATTACCGTCTGTATTATACGAGGGAGCAGTAATTACAAGATTGAACGTGTTTTCATGAATAATAGTAGGCAGCGTTTAACGACTAGGTTGAATTGAAATATATCATACAGATGGAGCATGTACTATGTTAATGCCGGCGGTGGAACGACAGTGAACTATAGCGGTGAATATCATTTTATTATCGGTGAAATGGCGTCTATCAATGGAGTCGTTTTACGCGGACGGCCGAACCCGTAATTACGAGTTGTTAATTAGAAAATAAAATTTCAAGCCTAATTACAGGGATATTCGAGTATTAGCTAATGTGCTGGGCTTGTCGATATCGCATGCTGAGATTGCGGTGTCTTTTTATTATTCAGATTAGTCCCTATGGCGTAATCTAAGAGAGCATTTACCAGAAAGAAATGACATCGATAATGCACCAATAAATTCACAGGAAATTCATTCATGTGGACGTGTGTTGGGAAATATAGTGTTTCACGCGATGACAGTGACAATTATTGGCACAGGGTGTAATACGCGGTTTGTGAAACGGGTTTTCTCGTTCTACATCGGACCGAGTATGTCAAAATGATGGAAATCGCACACTTTTATCTTGGCAATTAATAAATTACATTTCCAGGAACGAAGATAATTTTTTCCTTCGGACAATTGAAGGTTATTAAAACGCTATTTTTGAAGAAATCGTATTCCAGGCAATTATCGAGCACGATTACTTCAATTAGCGAGCGAATATTCTTGACGTTTAAACGCAATTCTACTGTAGATCATTAATATTTACGTTGCGATCTATGCGAATACGTTCGTACGGACGACCCGAGCATCTAAAGGCATAGAAACCGACGATGATCTGTCTGAATGTTGATCCCAATACATAATCACGATCCGTTGCGTACAGATAGAATCGCGCGCACCATACCTAGTTACTTTTTCAAATTAGCTCGCTAGTTACAGTATTTCAGCACGACCGCGTTTCAACGGTTCGCACAAAATAGTTGCAACGTGATGTAAATCGCGGCGCAATTATACTTCTGCAGGACATGATTAAGATATGTCTGATGGATCCAATTAACGAAGGTGAACCGCGCGGAATGCAAAACAGGTGGAATTAATATTCATCGACCATTGTACGGGGTGGTCAATAATTGCCTATGGATCGGCGCGCGATTGTTCGGAAAAATTGATCATCTCAGAGATAAATATAATCCAAAGTTCGATCAAAACTTCGAAGATGCATAGAACATGAGATTCCATTGAATTCCGTTGATCTTCATCAATGTACTTCATTGCTTCTTACAATGTTAACAATTCTACCAGCCACTATTGCAACACGGATGTTGCAAATTGTATTCTTCAAAGTCGAAACTTCTCAATTTTTCAACTGAATGATTTCCCAGCAGCCTAAAGAGTGGAACAATTGAAAATAATCCTTGCTTCATAAGTGTCTTTATCAAGCGATCGAGTAGATCAGTGTTCCAGCTGCAAACACAACGCGACAAAGGAAAGTCGAGACTTACGATTTCCGAAAATTTACTTTAGTCTGCAATTAAGTTACCATCGCGTGTCATGTATTAGAAACGTCGCGATGGAATACACGGCGACGAGTAAAACACAAACGGTCGGCCCGTCCGGAAAGATTTACGAGCTCCGGCTGATATTAATCGCGGGAGATCTTTGAAAAAACATTGTTATGCATCGATATTTTTCTGGTTCGCCATCGGATCGTTTGGAAGACATTGCGAAATTAATGCACCGTTCCCCGGAACGATTTTTGCCTTTTACGAGGCGCCGCGACAAGGATCGAGCGATTTTGCGCCGTTACGCTCTCATTAATTTCTTTTATTGCGAAGGACACAAGTATTTAATCAAGCATTAAACGAAAACAATGAAGGTTGCACTCTCTTGGTGTTGGTAACTGGTGAATTAAATTCTCAAATATAAGAAACGTCACTCTTTTCGAAGATGATTAGAAGAAACAACTTTCGTAATCATCAAGAAGATGGTCGCTTTTGACATTTAAATAGAATTTTCAGGAGAATACTGTAATTCATATTAATAGAAACGGAATAACTAATGTTGATAAAATTCCGGTTTCGCAAGTATGGACGCAACAATGTGGAAACAACCATAAAATTCTACAACGCCAGCACTTCTATCCCGCATTGTATATTCCGTCTAGTACAAGGACCCCGGTTTTTTCCCGCGGTTTTTTAGAAACCGATCTGGAGCAGCCTTGATCGTAATCCCCGATCATATACTTCGAAACAATAAAAACGAGCCCGCGATGCATATCGTAACTCTGTTACAAATTGTTATGTACGGCTTTCGATTTTCAATCCGGCTCGCGAGCCAACAGGAAATCGATGATTCATTGTTCTGATTCTACCCGTTGTTGCGCTTTTTTCCCCTCCTCCCCTCCCGCCGTCCCTTGAATGAAATGTTTCCTGATACCGGCGCAGAAAATCGAACCGCGGATTACGTGTCGCGATTTACGAGCAAAGTAAAATCGACTTGCCGAAGTAATTAACTTCGCGAAATTAGCTATAGATAAATTTGATGGAATCGAACGTGTCGAGCACCATTTAAATCATTTCCTCGCGTTGAAATCGGGAGAAAATTCGAATGGTTGCGTTAGTCGCTTTAGCCTGTGAGTGTTTTATCGGTAACCACGGATTAATTGGAATTATTTGTTTATATTGATTGTACAGCTGTTCGTACAGTTTGTAGACGATTGAAAGCGTTCATTTCAACGATTACAGAATAAACATTTTGAAATAAAAAGACACTTCGAACGTTCATTTCGAACCGTTGGACGATTGGGCCCGTTGGTTTGCGTCTTTTTACGCGGCACGCCGAGGAATATTTTCTGTTTTGCTGGCGCGGTGAGTCACGCGTTAATCGAACAGACGTTATCCATTGTCGCGTGCGAGGATGATGGTATTAACCGTCGATTGTTACGTAACGGATCGATCCTGCCGTTAGGATACGCCGCTACCGAGGGTATAACGGAACGGAGATCGAACGATAAAGCCGTCTGGATCGATTTAATCGACGTCTATCAACGGCTATCAACGGCGTCCATCAACGTTCGTATTTATACACAAGATTCGCGTGGAATGATCGATCGAGGACGAACTTGTCATTACATGTTTGTGGAATCGATTAATCGTTGGCCTTTCAAGTAAACGGGCACTCGTATTTTCCAATAAAGGCAAAGTGCCTATTAGATTTTGAAAAAAACACTGACATTCTTATATGAAATCGGAGGTTCATACGAAAATCGAGAATGCGGGTGTTTTGCATAGAACCGTCGCTCTTTTTAATAGACGGATTTCACAAGCTGGTTTCACAAACTTAATTCGAAGAGAAACTTCGAAAGTTGTGATTCATCGAAGCGATTATTTTCTTCATCTTGCTTGAAATGCTCGAATTCTAATTTCGTTTAACGCTAGGTCTTCCGTATCACTAACAGTAAACCAGTTGACATTACAAAATGTTTCCATAGAAACCCCGAGACTTCGATCACTCGTAATTTAGTCTCCGTTTTACTGAAATAATTCCTCCAGGAATTCATAGGATCTATTACTTTATCGATAATCGTAACAAAAGTATTCAGGAATGGGTGATTCCGAGGCATCTGGTAGTTCCAGCGTCAGTTTTGTAACTTTTCGTCTTAGTTAAGCTCGGCTTGGATATAGATTAGATTAGATTTCATTTTCCCGGTGTTTCCTATCGGTCCCGGAAGTTTCCCCTATCATCGAGCATAAAGGGGATCATAATTGACTTATCGAGGGGTTAGCGAGGTTTCCAGAGGGATCGTCTCGCGAGAAAAGAGATAGGAAACCGAGGATTGCCGAAACAATGGAGCAATCGATTGACAGACATATTGAACGACGAGGGTGAGGGCGGGGTTGGCATTAAGGCCAAAGAAAACCTCGAGAGTCGCGATATCGATTTACGAAGAGGGTTAAATTTCGGTTTTTCTGCGCCAGGCTGGATGACCCAATTACAGCTGTCATTGCGATTAATATCATGTTAGTTCATCGTATTATATAATGCGACAAGCAATTATATTATAACGAAGAATGAATGATGTCGAGTACGTGTTATAACGCGATGATTTATTCTAATGAAGTATCGGAGGTAAACGTTACCTGGAATCTTCCACGAGCACTATAGTGTTCGTTGAGTTCACACGGTTCACGTACTCGTCCAGGTGTCCCTCGCTGATTATCAGGATAGTGGCGTTCACAGCTTTGTTGAAGAATCCGTCCGTCGGCTTACCAATGTGAATGATGTGCGACGTCAAATCTGGATTTCAATCCGAGACGATTAAACGAGGAATTGATTAACGCTAGGTAACGTTGTTTCATCGGATAATTATTTCTAAATTACTACCGATGATCCCACGAAAGTGAAAAATACTGAATAATTATAGTATACTTCGAGAAATAGAAACGCGATGAAGTCGAAGACTTATAAAGAAAATAATCTGAGGGAACCAACGGTTCGGAGATCGTGTCTCAGTCATGGAAAAATTCGAAATTATCAGCAACAACTTTCTCTGGCCCCGCTGTTCAGTTTTAAAGACATTCGAGATTAACATCGTTCAAAACGGTGATTAATTTTCGCCAGAAACTGAGAAGGAAGTTTGAAATCCATCGCCTCTGACGAGCTCCGGGACGCGAAGTTTACAGGCTACAGGAGAAACAGTGATTAATTATCGGGAGATTAAGAGGACAACGATCCGCACCGTCGTCGTTGCCATCGTGGACCAAGACGCAGAGACCCTTATCGATGGCGCCCATTGTCAGCTTTTTGGCGATGTTTTGCGAGTCGTCATCGCCTTCTTCGTCGGCGTTCACCACCAACGAGAACGACTTCCACTTGAGTTGCTCCGCGACCTTCAGCGTTCCCTGGGACAGAAAATCCGGACGTGCTAACGCGGCTAATTTCTAACGAACGTCACGACCGGCGTCGTAAAGATGATCGGATAAAAAGGTACCGTGTAAAGAAGACGTTAATGTTCAACGGAAATACGTAACCGAGGGTGGAAACTCAGACATAATTAGGTAATACGAATCGAGATAAAGTGAAGTTAAACGAAGCCTCGGCAGCGTTCATGGGAATTTGATTTCAGACTCGATGGAAAGTCAACGAAATGCGCCTATCATTTTATTTCTGTTCAACACGTTCGCGCCGGTGTGTACCACCGGTGGCTCACAGTAAGATATCACACTAGACAGTGTTGGCTCATTAGACGGTGTGTAGCGTCAAGTATGTGGCTCGTCAAGTGGTTTGGTAATTAGAAAACATTGCCATATAATTGAGAATTAATTGACTTATTGATCGTTTCAATATTTTTATCAATTTTGAGTGGAAATTACTGCGCGGTGTGATCGTGTTAAACATTAACAATGTTACTGATTGAACAAAGTTCGATTTTCCTCTTGGTTCACTGGAAACATTCACGATAGACGCAACATTTCTTTCATTCCCTTCGCTGAAGTCTACATTTGTAGGAGCTCTCGCGGTTTATCGATGATTATTGGACGAGCCCGATGTTTCTGTACAATATTAGACGGACGAAAGGTTTGCAAATGGTTACCTGAACGATATAAGAATCGGATTCCTTGGCGAGATGATGAAGGAACGGAGAATTCGATTGCCGCCTCACGATATGCGGCACTTTCAGCACTGAGGTTATCTTGTGTACGGCTTCCGCATTTGTCGCAGTGTCCGGCCCAATAATTCCTGCGAAACGGTGTCAGTTCGATACAGGGTGGAAGGCGAACCTCGGTTAAAGGGAATCTAATTCAATTCTAACACGCACGATCGATTAAGGAAATTAAGTGGACTCTGTCGTTTAGAAAATTACTGATTCAGCTCCGCGGAAGTCGCTTCTGGTTGTACGGAGTAATTGAATGCTTGCAGAATTCTTCAAGAATATTGCACCCTAGTAATATTCAAGCGCACTACAATGTTACCCGACGAGGGCGATTACCTAAATAGTGAGGAGCTTGCAAGCAGTTGGTGTCTGCCCCAACGAGAGCCTTCATCCCCGCTTTCAAGGCGCCAGCGATGCTGCCGCACGTGTCCAGAACGGCCATTTCTACGAGAAGGAAGAAAGAATTCACGATCGACCCTTAATTAACGCGAGAAACTTCTACCGCCTCGGAAGACCGATTAAAACTTACTCCGTAACGTCAAATTTAAAATGTTTCGTAGCCTCGGATTTCATCGAAACGCGAAACTTCGAACAGTAGACCCAGTCTCGCGAATGATAAATCGACATCTAACAAATTCTCGGTAATCGTCGTTTGTACTACACTTTACCGAAGCATTCGAATTCCCTTCTATTTCTAAAGTACAACCGAATCTCCGATCGCAGATTCATATTCCGAAGCAATTATAAAATTCCAGTTAGAAGTTCAAACAACAAAAGGATCTCGTACAACTCGAACAATTATCGTGGCGTACTATTTTCCCTTGGCATCGATTCCCCTCCGCGGTATCGTTCGATCCTATCGAGGCCGAGCGCGAAGAATGAAAGAAAAACTCCGATTCGTTTACCGATATCGTATCCGGCAGACTTATTGTTGTGAGCCTCGGCGAGGAATTTCGCGGCTTCGTAGAGCAGGACGCCTTTGGGCGACAACTTCCTGCAGGAGGGATCGTCGTGCACGCTGGTCAGCAGCGAGATCTCCGCGTGATTTCCGCATTCCGTCCGTCCGCCGCAGGTGCACGCGCAAATCATTCCTACGATGACGAGCAGCGCTCGCGCAAGGGCCATCTCGAAGCCGATCTTTTCGATCTCTCCTGCAAACTTCCCTCGTTGAACCGATCTCTCCTTCTCTATTCTCTGCTTGAAACTCTCCTCTTCCAGCAATTATCCCTCACAATAATTCCAGGCCTACCAGTTCTCGGTGTCGCAACGTTTTCCTCGCAGATACGCACAGGAACGCTAATAACGAGACACGGCGAGATCGTGTACGCGCGATTTTTCCGAGCCGGGGCCGGGCTTTTGCAACGAAACCGATGTTATCGGCTTCTCGGCGGTTCCCTTCCTCTTTTCGGGCTTGCCCGCGGTTCACTGAACTTTCACTGCGAACACGAACCGCGAAATTCGGGTCTCGCGTCGGGGCCGGGGGACCAAGTAAGGGGTGGACGCGCGGAAGAAGCAGCCGTGGTCTGTTCCTCGATGCTTCTTCCAGCACTGCGGACCTTGGTATTGAAAACCGGAAGCTTTATAAGGAAGCCAATGCGACATGTATTATGCGAATTTCTACGGTTTTAGGCCTCATCGACCGTACCCCTCGCGTCCCCGCCGCGACCTTGCCGCGTACTTTTTCCTCGTGATCTCTTTGTCGCACGTCTGCTCCGTTGCGGTTTCTTTGCTTTGTCCTGGCGATGCGTGGACCGCGTGTCTTTTATTCCTTATTAATTAAAAGAAGTTGGGCGTACGCGGGGTGTATTTTCGCTGCGACAGCTTTCATTAAGTTAGAGGCAATTGTGTTGAAATGCGTTGATACGGTTGGTTGGTCAGTGGAATGTTTAAATATTTATGATTTAACGAGAATCATGTTTTGTCTGGAAAATGTTCTTGTAATGGCGGTAAATTACTATCGAAAATTCATATTGAAGTTGTTAACCGTAGCTTCTTACTGATTTCTTTGTGAAATTCGGGTAGATCGCAGCTTTAGAATCTTCGCTGAAAAATAAGTTGTAAAACAGACACCTCTATGGTCTCGTAACATTCGCAGAACATTACAATGTCGGTAAATAACGACATCGATGTTGAAAATCCGTCTACGTTTTATCTCTCACTTATCGTCTCACTTTAGTTACACCGCCTACTCTTCTATCACCACTTCCAATTGGGAAAATAGGTGTTGCCATAGTATTCCGCCAATCAGAAGGCACAGCGCGGCTGTATACCATCGTGTACTCGCGGTGGGACGAACAAACGTTCCCTCTGAAACTTTGCATCCATTCCGTCGCCCTTAATTCATTCATTTCCATCTCCGAACCAACGGTAACACCTCCAGTTTAAAGACCTAAGCATCGAACGCCCAAGAAATTACTCTCCTTTGCATCTCGAGTCAGCGTAATTAGCATCCAAACGGATCCCGGTTGCTTCGAATATACCAGCGTACAATAATCTTCGACGACAGTGTAAAAGGAGCGGGAAAAATTGCTGCGGAACGCGATTAGATCGAAACGATCGATGGTTCCTCGAGGCTGAATTTTCGTAACGCCGGAACCCCTCTTAATCGAGCGTAAGCTCGTTAGCATAGTATCGACTGCGAGACTGTAAATCCTCGTTGCACAACCTCCACCCTTGCATAATCATCCGTTATGACTGATTAAAATGCATCGGAGGCGCGAAACACGTTCGGTTAGAAAACGTTCGTCTCCGCCAAGTACGGGCAGCGGCGGTTCATTGCGATTCGGCCTTTCCCGACACCCGGAGTCATTGAGATCAGACTTGCAAACGCGCCGAAGGAAACTGTAAATCTTCGGCATGCCTTGGATCCAATAGGCGTTTCTAGGCAGGTGGCACGCAGAAACTGGTGCGCCCAGAAAAAGCGACGTTTGACAATGCGTGGTGAAACCGCACGCATCTCCGCGCGCGCTTTCGCAACTAATTGTAACAGTTTCATCAGATTATCCGCGTGCAACCGATATTCATATTAACCGAGCGGCGGTGTCAGTTTTTGCCCTGGTTTCTCTACTTCCGTGTTTTGCTGACGGCCAGTCTAGTCGGACAACCTGCTCTCGCGAAGTGAGTTTTGTCTTTAACAGACTGGAGAATCGATTGTTCCTTCGATTTTCAGGGAAGCGTTGATCATCTGATTTCTTTAAAGGCTTCTTGTTCCTATAACAAATTTCGAATTTGTGCTGGTCGAAATTGAGAAGATGGATTTGATATTATTTACAATTGTTTTGTATTATTTCAACACTCGATAAATACACGAAGAATATATTTCTATGATACGATCGTTAACCTTGAAGTCGTAGTCTGAAAATTTTCAATGTTTCGAAGAGATCTCGTTATAGATCCTTGGCTGAATAAAGACTTCGTGGAAGCAATGTTTAGTCATTCAGTTCGATCGCTGTTCCAATTTCAAAAACAAGTGACACGACGGAAATTAGTTAAGCGCGATTACTGCCGATTGATGGGATTCCCTGGCCCCAGGAAATGATTATGGCGCGTTGTCAGCCGCAGATTAAGGGTCGTAACAACACGCGGCGACGATGACTCTTCGCGTTTCACCTTGGATTCTTTTCACAGCCGCATTCTCTATAATGCGTGCTTACGGACTGTACTACTTAACTGAAATCCTTCTCATACATAAGAGATTTATTTATTTACGTAAGCCACCGGTCGTAGTGTCGCTATTTCCCAGTGCCTCCTTAAACGAGACAACCCGTACACCTTCGTTTGGCCGGCGAAAGTCAATTAGGCGAGCCATCGCGGTATCGAACGTTTCCGGTGTTAGAATTCGCGCTTAAAAGTTACGTTCAATCTTCCCGAAGCTGTCGTTCACCGTATAAATTAGAAAGTATGTGTATTCGATTTCTTCCTAGGTTGAACTGTTTCATTTTTCAAAAATATACGAAGCGACGGGAGAACATTCAAAAGGTTTCGAAGATCTTGCGGTTAGTGTAAGTAGAGTTAGTAGATTCTTTTGATTATAGATCTTCGATCGAATAAAGCTGCAGGATTTTAGAATAAACGCGACGACGAATATTGAAACGTATTTTCCTGTGCTCGAGGCGAAACGTCCGCTGCAACCAGTAAAACAGGTGGCAATAGAAGCCATTTTATCTATACATGATCCAGAAAGTTGTCGTCAGCTGGCGCCACAGGTTAGATTGCGATCGTACGTCTCCGTAATTTACGAGCAATTAACGGCATGATCAATGCTTGAAACCAATAACATATTCAGTGGGAATTGCAAATAATTTTCCTCGTGTATTTGCCATCCGGTACGTCGCTCTGCGAGCGTTACAAACATTATTCCCAGGAAATTATGACAAACTCATTTGCAATAATATTCGCTTCCCAACGTTACACAAAGAGATTCAATAAATATCCCCGTGAAGTAATCAAACAATCTCGGATTCAAACAACAACCTTCGTTCAGAATGTACACAGACCTGTTGCTGTTTGAGTAATTAAGTAATTTATTCGCAATGCAGTATTTCGTATACGAAAAATAAGATTCAAGTGAAAATTCATTTAATATTCTCCAAAATATCGCGTTAAATCAAACAACCCGCTGAATTCGTGAACAATAAAATAAATGTACAAACATCCACGTCACATATAGTAGACCAGATAACATAACCGGTCGAATGCAACCGGAATAATTCAATCGGCACCGGTGGATCCGGTCCCCCGAGATGAATGGGTTGAAAAGGAGAATTTGAAGTCGCGTCAGAAATGGCGGGCAGCCGCGACGGTGGGGGATGATGTATTTGCGTCCCGGCCGAGCATTACTTAGGTTGGCCCGGGACCAACAATAACAGTGAAACTTTTAAAAGCGAGACGCGAGTATTCCCCGAACCTCAAACATCTTCGCGGTGTTCACGAGGTGCGGACGAGCGTTGTCTGTTTATCCATACGTCTGTCTGGCGTTCTGTAAATCCTTCGGCGACTATATATCCTACGGCGACTATATCCTTCGATGCACGCGCGAAATTTACGAGGCGCGCGCCGGATTCGCGCGATCGCCGGTTACTCGGCAACGTTTTCCAGTTCTTCGCTTTCTTCTCTCGATCTCGTAAGCCGGCCCATTGCGGACGAAGATTCTTCAGTTTAGAATTCTTCAAAGTCGCAATTGAGATGACACAAGCAGCATCGAAGAACATAAGAATCTAATAAGCTGATAGAAGTGAAAAATGGCAAGATCGAAGAGTTCGAGGAAGTTAGCTGAATTGTATCATCCTCTGTTGGTTCAGAGTTACTGCGCAGCCAATTACCAATCACTAATTGCTAATGGAATTCAATATTTCCCTCGCCACCCAATTTTTTCCTATTAAGGAGAGCAACTCGCGCAGAGCCGGAATAAACTTATTTACCCGGAGCCGCATACACGGTTCCGATTTCGGGAGCTGATTGGTTCACGGTGAACGTTCTTTCGCGCTCCGAAAACAGCCGGTACTCCCTATACAGGCGGTAGATCAAGGTCTGCTCGATTATGGGCCGGCGTAATCGAATTCTCGCGTATCTTCGGGAGAAGGCAGCGACTGCCCGATTCGATACTCAATGATTGCCTCGTTCCCAGCCGTGTTTCCTCTATGCCGCGCGTTTCCTGCGAAAACGATCAACTTCCTACCCGAGTTTAAATTAAATACCCATGGTCAAAAGCGCGCGGAGAATGACGTCAATAAAATTTTCCGCGGAACGCCGGAATCCATAATACAGTGTGGAAAAAGTGAGATTCCGGCGGGAATTGAAAACGCGAATTCGAATGATCGACACGCGAGGAATCCGTGGAGCCGCGGATTCTTCTCGGGCGAAAAAGCGAGTCCGGTGTGTTATCGTTTTAAAAAAAGATCGCTCGGAACTTGTGATTGACGGAAGGAAGGGAAGCCTATAATTTGTCGAAGTCGGAAAGCTTCCGAGAAGCTCCGATCGTTTGCTCCGCTTCGATTATCTGTCCAGTGACGGCCAAAAGAAACAATATTCTGGAAGCCCGCGAAAGTTTCGGGATCGAGATAAATCATGGGATGCGTATACGGCGGTAAATCACGCCGTCGATCTTTTGGGAACGACTAGGCTAGGAAAACACGATCGAGAATTTTGACAGCGAACGGCAGGTCTGTGTCAAGCGTGATGTCAGTGGCACGGCTTTTTTTCTCTCGGTGGAAATGATATAATTAGTCTTCGGGTCTACGCGATGTATAGGTCCAATTATTACAACTTTGTGACCAACGTGTGATTCGATTCTCTGTTGAATATTTCTGCGAATTCGAGCCATTGTTGGAAGATTCGAAAGGTTTGAAAACTCGACAGTTTGGAAAGTTGAGAAAAATTTGAAGACCTGAAAATTGGAAAATTGGCAAGTTGGGGAATCGAGGTTTTTCGAGAGAAATCTGCAGTGGATTAAATGCAACGATTAAACAGAGTATAACCCGATACACGGGGATCCACTTTAATATATTGCACTTTTTACGGAGCATCGGTGAAAAACCGTATCTAACAGTTTCACTGGGCAAGGATTGGGGTCACTAGTTCT